CCCACCAAAATGAAGTTGGGTTTATCCCAGAGATTCAGGAATGGTTCAACATACAGAAGTCAATAGATGTAATAAAGTGTATAAATAGGCATAAAGGAAAAAAACACATGATCATGTCAATTGATGCCGGAAAAAAAAAAAACAACCTTTGACAAAATCCAACATACCCACATAATAAAAGCCCTAGAAAGAATAGGACTGGGGAGAGCATACCTCACCATACTAAAGGAAGTATGACAAACCCCAGCCAACACCATTCTAAATAGAGAAAAAAAATGAAAGCAATCCCAGTGAAATGGGGATAAGATAGCACTGTCCACTATTCCCATCCCTTTCCAAAACAGTGCTTGACGCACTAGCTGGAGCAGTAAAAGAGAAAAAAAATAAAGCAATACAAGTAGGAAAAGAAAAAAATCACATAATCTCTATTTGCAGATAAGAGATTGTAAAAATTCCACAAGAAAGTTTCTAGACACTACCAACAATGTCAGTAATGCGGCAAGATAAAACAAAAGAAATCAGTAGTCTTTCTAGACACAACAATAAACACTCTGAGAAAGAGGTGGACACCCACACTTCCATTTATAGCAGCCTCAAAAAATATATCTACGAGTAAACCTAACCAAAGAGGTGGGAACCACTACAATGAAATCTTTACATCTCTGAAGAAGAACGAGCTTAGGGAAGACACCAGAAAGACTTAGGGAAGACTCCTGTGCACAGGGTTTAGAAAAATGCTATTGTAAAACATCATTATGCAAAACAATTCACAGATTCAATGCAATCCCAACCAAAATCCCCACAACACTCTTCAAGGAAATATTTTAAAATATCCTAAAATCCACATGGAATCACAAAAAAATAAAAATGCAGATAGTCCAAGCAATGAGCAAAAAGAATAATACTGGAGGAATTACTGTTCCAGATTCCAAGGCATTACAGAGCTATAGTGATTAAAAACAACATGGTACTGACACAAAAGCAAACTAATGGAACAAAATAGAGGAGACAGGCATGAGTATTTGAAATTAAAAAGTACCCAGTGTTTCCAAATGATAACAAAAGTGCACACTGGAGAAAATATTGCTGGGAAAACTGGATATCCACATGTAGAATGGAAAAATTAGAAACATACCTATCCCCCTTCACAAAACCTAACCCCAAACGGGTCAAAGACCTCACTGAAACTGCTATAAGAAATACCCTCCAGGATATAGGTGTCGAAAATGAGTTTCTGAATAGGACTCCATTTGCCCAGGAATTAAGGCCAATGACTGACAAGTGGGACCTCATAGAACTAAAAAGTATTTGTACAGCGAAGCAAACAATCTATAGAATGAAGAAGCCACAGACTAGGAAAGAATCTTTGCCACCTGTGTGTCTGGCAAAGGATGAATATCAAGAATGTAAAAAGAACGTAAAAAAGTTAAAAACAAATGATCCAATTGAAAAATGGGTTATGGATCTGAATAAAGAATTCCCAAAGGAAAAAATAAAAATGACTGAGAAATATTTTTAAAGTATTTAAAATGCTTAGCAATTAGGAGAGTGTAAATTGAAACTGCTTTGAAATTTTACCTTACTTAAGTTAGAACAGCTAAGATTAATAAAACAATTGATGGGGGCTGGAGAAATGGCTCAGCTGTTAAGAATACCATCTGCTCTTCCAGAGGACCCAAGTTTGATTTCCATTACCGGTGTGGTCGCTCACAATCATTTGTAACTCCAATTCTAGGAATCGAACAACATCCTCAGACCTCTAGAGGCGTCAGGCAACATGTGACACATACACGCAGGCTAAATATCCATACACATAAAACAAACAGATAAATAACATTTTATTAAGTATTCCTTTGTTTTCTGACTACCATTACAACACATTACATTAGCAAGGAACAAGTTTTTTGAGCTGGTTTCAGAGGCAGTTACTTCTCAAAATGTTAAATAAAACACTGTACAATGTCATTAGTAAAGTGTTAAATTTCACACTGTGTACCACTTAGAGCTTCTGAACAAAATAAGGTAAAATGGTTACACTTTTTTATCTTTAAGGATATAAAAGTCTAAGTATTCAAATAATTTTATTATAGAACTAAACCCTAAAGGTGTCTACAGAATTGGCTCTTTAATTTTTTTCTCTTTAAATAGGCAGTCTAACAAGGGTTAGAAAAGACAAAACTGTTAAGTGTCTGACAAAGTAGAAAGGGTGAAAACACGAAGAAAGCCTGAATTTTGACACATATAATACAATGCCTCTGATGTCTTCATGAACAGTTTCCCAGCCACTTCCCTTCAAAACCTGGGACTGCTTCTTTGAAGCAGCTGCTGTGACTGTTACATTCTGATTGAGACTTACCATCACCATCTCTTTCTCAGGACACTGTTTCTGGGCAAACATCACTATCCTCACATAAGCAATTTTTAAAAAGAAAACAAGTGACAACAAATACTGGGAAGGATGTGTTGGAAGGGGAACCCCCATTCAGTGTGTGTGGGATTACAGACTGGCTCTGTCATTCTGAAAGTCAGTGTGGTGAATTCACAGGAAGCCAAGCACAGCTCTATCACGAGACCCAGCTATTCGCTCCTCACATATAGCCAAATCACTCAACAGCCTACACCACAGATAATTGCTTAGTTGTGTTCACTGCCATTCCATTCACGGGAGCCAGGGAATGGAAACTACTTAATTATCTTTCAACAGACAACGGATAATGAACTGTGGTAATTTTTCAGAATTCTGTTCAGCTATAAAGAAAAATGAAGTCATGAAATTTTCAGAAAAATAGGTGAAACCAAAAAATATTATGCTGAGTGAACTGATCTAGACTCAGAAAGATAAAAGCCAAATCTTTTTTTTTTTTATTATTCCTATCTTGGAATCTTTACATGTGAGTATATAGCATGGAGTAACTACAGGCACCAGGGAAGTAGAAGGGATTATGGCAAGGATGGATGTGGAGGAGGAGCACTGTGTGGGGGCTGGTAGTCACAACTCAAGGCACAAACTGAAACAGTTCCTTTGATAGAGGAAATGTGAAAAACTGGGGTGGGGGTATTACGGAAATGAGAAGGGAGACTGTATAGAGGTAGAACGGAAGAGAAAGAATAAATAATTCTATGGATGTTTTAAAAAGCCATAGGAAATCGTTATTTTATGTTTACTTAAAATTACATATAAGTACATATTTATACATACATACATACATACATACATACATACATACATACAAATATTTTAAATGAAGCTATACCATTTTGGTGATAATGCTCCCTCCAAGAGTCATAAATACCTAACAAAAAAACCTAGGACCAGGCATGAGAAATGTGCTTTGTGGTCGTTGGGTAGGGCTGTCCAAGAGATCCCCAAAATAATACAAGCTATTGCTCTTTCCCTTGCTTTCCTCCCATGATCTGAAGGTAAGTCACTTCTGCTGAATAGATCATATACTTTGGACACAAGACTTTGAGTACTCAAGCTGGGTCTGACCTGTCAGCTCAGCCTCCTCCCTGAAGAACAGAACAACTCTCACAGGACCACAGGGTGCTATGCCAGCTGCCAAGGGAGAGAAGCAGGCAATAGTCCTACCCAGCTATGACTAGCATGGCAAGATATCCCCAAAGACGGAATAGTGGTACTTATATTTTGGAGCTAACCATTGGACTTAAGGCCTGCTAAATGGGAAAGAACGCATGCCTGGTACTGCAAACCTGGTCAACTATCCATGGTTGGTGAGGCCATGGGACCTCCAAGAGAACCCACTACTTTCCCTTCCCTAAATCAGTATAATTTCTAACTGTGTCTTAGTGGGAGTTTCTATTGCTTTGATAAAACACCATGAAGGCAACTTGAGAGGAAAGGGTTTATTACAACTCCCAGGTCACAGTTCATCACTGAGAGAAACTGGGGCAGGAACTCAAGGCACAAACTGAAACAGAGACCATGCAGAAGTGCTGCTTATTGCCTTGCTTCCTAGGGCTGTCTCAGCTGCTTTCTTCATCATCTAACTATGGCTAGCACAGACACTGTGGGCTGGGCCTTCCCCCATCAGTCATACAGCCATAAAATGCCACAGGCTTGTCTACAGATCTTATGGAGCATTTTCTCAATTGAAGTTTCTTCCTCTCTGATGACACTAGGTTGTGCCAAACTTGACAAAAACTAACCAAACACAAACCACCTTCTGAATACATATCCTTCTACCAACTAATAAGTGTGGCTCTCACTGCTTATCAAAGAGGCTTCTTTGAAGCTGTTGGAGACCATCACAGAAACCCACAACTGATCAAAATGCAGAGAACAACTGCCAATGGGATGCCCAGCACCATTTGATACTTGCACAATACCTAAGACTCAGGAACATCATGAAAGAGGAAGTGGAGAGATTGTAAAATCAGAGGACCAGGATGAGTGTACCCAAAATCTTAATATTGTTGCCTAAATGAGACTTGAACAATGGCAACACCAGTTGACATGCCAACATGGATGGGTGAAACCTCACAAAGCCTCCTCCTAGATAAAGAGCCATAGAGAGAGGGAGACTCAGGCTTCCCCAGAAATGATCCCCTAATTGGTTGTCCCATACCAAGTGGGCATCCTTTAGAACACATACATGTGAGCAACACTGAGTAGACTGGACAGTTTTTGTGTGTGTGTGTGTGTGTGTGTGTGTGTGTGTGTGTGTGTGTTGATAACAATTGAAGAAAAAAGTTATGAACATGACATGGGGTCAGGGGAGAGGCAGAGACAGCAGAGGAGTTGGAAAGAAAAGGGGGAAGGGGAATTGTATATATAGTACTCATATATAAAATTTTTCAAAGAATAAACTTTAAAATGTTTCCTCATGCCTGTAAATAACTTATTTTGAAATGTGAATGCTGACAATGACTTGCATCTTTTATGTCCAACCCTAATAACTAAGCCTAAAGCTAATGGGTGATGGGAAGAGTGTGTTTCCAATAGTGCTTTTTTCCAGGGTATTTTGTGTTTCAGAATTTACCTGGTTGGCATGTTTCTGTCTTCTTCACTCCTGCTTCATTGGTTGTAAGCGGGTCTTGCATTTCAATCATATTCTGAATGTATATTAAAATAAGATATTTTATAAATATATTAATTATAATACTTTGTAATTAAAAATTACAGTTATTACCTTCCAGTGTGGACATTTCTTGGCCCTCACTAAAAAAGCAAAAGGTAATATGGCAATTCAAACCATACAATCAAGAAGAATTAGAATATAACAGAGTTCTCACATCTGACTTTCAAAATAACCACTTATGTTCTTGGACTTAATTTTACTAATATGAACAGCAATATTACAGAAATACATGTACATAAATTTGCATATAGATTTAGTAAACTGTTGTCCAGATTTCAAAAAATACTATACTGAAAAGATATCTCAGTGGGTAAAGAGTCTGCTGTATAAGTGTGAGGGCCTGTGTTTGAATCCCCACAGCCTGTATAAAAGCATATAAAAGCTTGCATGTCTGTCATCCCAACACTCCCACAGGGAGATTGGAAGTAAATGCAGTAGAAACCCTGGAAGCGGTAGGCTACCTGTCCTGCATGTACAGCAGCCAGAAACTAAAGAACTGGCCTGAAACAAGGAGGCAGGGATTCACATGTGAGGTTGTGAGGGTGCTGTGAGAAAATACTAGCCCAAGGCAACTTATAGAAAGCAGTGTTTATTTGGACTTTCTGTTCCAGATGAGCAACTATCATGGGAAAGCACGCTAGTGAGCAGCAGACAGTGGCTGGAGAAAAAGCTGAGGGTTTGCATCTTAAACTAAAAACATGAAGCAGAGAGAGCAAACTGGGACTGGCACATAGCTTTTCAACATCAAAGCCCACCCCCAGTGACATAGTTCCTCCGTAATCTATCCCCAACAGCACCACCAAGTGGAGACTAATTATTCAAATATCTGAGCCCATAGGAAATATTCTCATTCAAACCCCCACACCTCCCCAGCACATTTATACCCTCCTACATACACAGAAAGAGGGGGGGAGGGAGAGAGAGAGAGAGGAGGGGGGAGGGAGGACAGTGGTTAAAGTATTGTATTCCTACTGACTGTAGTGAAAGAAGCAAAATGTTTGTGAGAAAATGTTTGTCCATGAAGAAAAGTGTCATTTCCAATCAGAGAAGCAAATCATGGCCCTGAATAAATAAACATCAAAATTGACAATAAAGTATGACAGAATATATCATTAGTGGAAAATATCAAAGTCATTCATACAATTATACCATAAATAATTACGTACTTCAGTTTGTCCATAGTTTCAAAAGTACAGGAGTAAGGAGATGGCCTAGTAGGTAAAGTGCTTGTGTTTAGATTCACAGAACCAATGTAAAATGCCAGGTGTGGTAGTTTGCTTATGTAACCCTAACATCAGAGAAGGGTCAATCCCTGGAGCTCACTGGCCAGGTGAATTTGAATTTCAGTGTAAGGCCCTGTCTCAAAACTTAAGATAGCTTTTAAATGCATGTATTCATATCCACATAATGTGTGGCACCTGTACAAATACCCAAATGAAGACCCACAAACATACACACATCACAAATAGAAAGTATAAATGAGTCACGACAGTGCATAATTAATTTGTGTTTATATATTATTCCTGAATTGATCAGTCTGGATAAACTTGTAAAATAACAGTTTATAAAGTATTCTTTTTTCATAGGGCACTAGGACTATTGATATCCCTATTGTTTTTATCCTATGGTTTAGCTATTTTGGATTCATATTAATTTAATCATTTAAAAAGTTATGTGAACCAGAAATAATGTACAGTATTACTTTAATAGTAGAATGTAGTTGTTAAAATGGGGAGAGATATTAGATATTGATAATCCTGTTATACATCAAAATCAGTAGCTATTAAAACAAACCATTGTGAAATTAACCAAATGTATTTTTTGAAAATTGTTTAATTGTTCAACAATTTCAATATGACTATGATGTGATTTGGTCAAATTTGTCAGCCACATCCCTACCACCATTTTTTTCCCTCCTAACATCATATATTTTTCAAAACTACTGTATCCTATATTTTATAGTGGTTTTTATTTCCAATATTGTATTGCTCTGCAAAATCATAATAAACTTTCAAGAAAATTCATGGGAGAAATCATCTCCTGGAAAAGTTAGCTGTCTTTACAAGTTCCTCATCAACTCCACAAAAAAAAATTAGAGCTGATACATACTTTCAACCAAGTAACAGGACACACAATAATCAGAGTCTTTCCTATATACAAATGACAAGCATACCAACAAAGAAATCAGGGAAACAATTCCATTCACAATAGCCTCAAAATATGAAAATATCCTGGAATAAATCTAGTCAAGGAAGTGAAAAATGTGCACAATGAAAACTTTAAGACACTAAAAAGGAGAAAATGCTCATGGACTTACAAGGATAGATACTGCAAAAAAATATCTGCTCTAAAGAAATCTACAAATAAAATTGAAAACCACCTTTCATCAAAATCCCAGTACAATTCTTTGTGGAAATTGAAAATAAATTTAAATTTCAAGTTAAAACACAGAATCCAGAGAAAATCCCAGCATGGAGAGGGAGGTGTCCCATGCAGAGCTAAGGAGCTGTTGGTAATTGGTCATTTCTCAGAGAGGAAGTCCAGGTGGGTGACCTTGTTACAATGAAAGGCCACATAAAAGAGTATCTGGACAGCATCAACTGTACTTGATGAGATGAGGTGGGATTTTTTTGAGGGGGTTGGATGGTGAGTGAAGAGGAGGTGGATCTGAGTTGGGGGAGGAAAAATTACATTTTTCAAGATTCTCAAAGAACTAACAAAAAATGAGGGAACAAAAACTTTCTAAATAGAATGTAATTGATACCTTCCACTTGCTTAATCACTATATATTTACTTTTTTGATCTTTAGCCCCAAATAAATCTTCAGCAAATGCATGTGAAAGACTCTCAGATATATCCTGATAAAATTGATATCAATAATGAATAGCACAAGTTTTCCATTAGATATCTCAATTTGGTATTTTGGATGTAATTAAACTTAAAAGGGAGAATATGAAAATACATAACCATATTAAATTGAAATATTACATAAACATATATACATACATATATATTCTCTAGATTCAGACTATTTTGCTTTTCATGTGAGAACTGACTGAATACTAAACATTTAAGTAAAGAAGAAAACTATTCATAGATAAATGCTCATGTACACATTTCAACAAAGGAATTAGTTTTACAATGTGCAGTTCTGTATTTCACACCAAAACCAAGATGGGCTTTTTAAGTAAACATGTAAATCAAGTTAACACATCTTTTTTTGTTTTGTTTTGTTTCAAAACAGAGTTTCTCTGTGTAGCCCTAGCTATCGCAGAGCTCTATAGACCAGACTAGCCTTGAACTCAGAGATCTGCCTGCTTCTGCCCCCTATTCCCAAATTCTAGGACTAAAAATATGCACCACTACCTGGCAGTGCTTATATCTTAATCTACTGTAATGAACCATGAGAATTCCACATATTTCTATTGTGAAGAGATCAGCCCCAGCAATAAATGTAATTTTTAAGATAAAAAAGGCACATGGTTGGGTGGAGAAGTGAGAGCAGACAGGAGGAATTGGGGGAGTGGAATAAATATGATTAAAATGCATTGTATGAAATTCTCTAAGAACTAATTAAATGAGAGGGAAATAGTGAACATTATTAAATATTCCAAGTAAGAAATTAAGTTCATCCAGGAGTACTTTCCCCCAGGAACAACATTACAAACCTCAGTGGCTGTAGATGAGGTCGTTCCAGCATCAGCTTTGTTGGTAGGCCTTCAGAACAAAAAGTACACAAGGCATATGAGTACTGTTTTTTAAAACGTATTAAAAGATCAGCTCTTTGCAAGGTGAATTGTATATCTTTATTTCGTTATTCTAATTTGACCTGAGTGTTTAAGACATCTTTAGTTCATCGTTTCTGCCTCCATCTATCCCAATCTAAGAACTGCTCAAAGGTGTATTACTGACAAGCTCATATCATGCCAATATTTGGGCAGCCCCTGGAAATATTTAAATATTCCCTCCATGGAGGCTAAACTACAATTCCTGTCAATGGTTCATAGAAACAAAACAAATCTTGTAGCATAAAACATGTTAAAATGATGGGCTATTCTCTTTCCATCATCCACTCTTGGATTAAATGCAAAGCTTTTTAATTCAAGTGTGGTACTTTTTTTTCTTCCTTATGGAATATACCTATTTAAAAGACCCCATTACAAGGCTGGGAGACAGCTCAGTTGTTAAGAACATTTGCTGTTCTTTTGAAGGACTCCGATTTTGTTCTCAGCACCTGAAATTCCAGCTCTGCAGCTCTGCCACCAGCCCGAGGTGCCATCCACCAGTACTTGCACAAATGTGTACATACTCACATGTAGACATACATACATACATACATACATACATACATAAAAAAACATGAAATTTTTAAATTGTTTTTTTTTTCTTTTTGCCTGAAAATAGCAGCAGGAGTCCCCTTAGGCATTTTAAAATGTTGAAAGATAAATTTTCAAAGTTCAAGAATGTGTTTAGAGTTGTTTCTGGAAATGTTTTTCACAGAGAGTTTAGAACATTAAAAATTATAGTAGTAGAACATAGGAGATACAAAGGGGAAGTGGGACTAACTGGAGCAAAAGGTTTAGTAGGGCTTGGGGATGAGCAGAGGAAGGGAGGGAAGAGTGATAACTGACACTAAGTACCTTTGGAAAGCCACATAGAAACCTACTCTTTGATTAGCTTCCAAGATATGTATACATACATTAAAGATTTATTTCTATTAGTTTTGGTGTGTATATGTATATATAGGCATGTGCACACAAGTACAGGGGCCAGCAGAGGGTGCCAGAGCTGGACTTACAGGCAATTGTGAGACACCTAACATGTATGTCAGGAATCAAACTGGTCCTCTGATACGTGCTCTTAACCACTGATCCATTCCTCCAGTATATACTTATAACTCTCTCTCTCTCTGTGTGTGTGTGTGTGTGTGTGTGTGTGTGTGTGTGTGTGTGTGTGTGTGCATCCATGCACGTGCACGCATGTGACTTTTTAATGTGTTACATTCAACAAAATATAGTGAACCTCCCAGAGGCTATAGGATATCAAACCAAAAGCCCAATGCCATATGTGAGATCCTCCCCTGGAGTTGTTAGTCAGGGGGATCCCAGGGATCCCCCCAAATAAAATACAGGCTATATCCATTAATCTTGGTTGCTCACCAGAGCATGATATAAGATTCCATTGTTGAAGACACCACATGCTGTGGTCCCAGGACATGAAGAAATCAAGCTGGTACTAACTAGGAAATTTTCTTCTTACTTACTAGCTTTCATAGTACTAGAAGGTGCTATGCATGCAGCTAGGGAAGAAAAGTCACTAAAAGTTTTACCTAGCTGTGGGCTACAATAATAAACAGCCAGACAAGAGATGGCTGAGGGAGCAATAATGGCACAAATGCCGTGGGTAAACTACAGCTTTCTGGTTGTACTTAAGGCCCTCCTCACAGGAGAAAAATGCGTGCATAAACCCATCAGGTGATCCATGTCTGGGAAGCTCATAAGCTCTAGAGGAGAACCTGCCACTATTACTTTGCTGAGAACACACTGTATTAGACCGCCTTCTAAATATGTGTCTCTCTACCCGTGCCTTAGTGCAGTTCTTAACTCCCACCCGAAAAGTTTCATCTTGCAGAGGATAGTAGTTAATATGAGACTCACGGGTGGTCAAAATGTCTGTGGAATGCTCAGACCTAAATGTGGTGTCCACATCATAGTCCCTACCCCAGAGTCTAAGGGAATGAGGAGCAAGAGGATACAGAAAGACTGAGAGCCAGAGGCCGGTGGACATGACAAGGCCATTGAACTAATGAACTCACAACAGCATAGTACCAACTGAAGTTCAAGAGCTTCTTTGTCAGCCAATTGTAAACCATGACCATGAATGAATATAAAAAAGTGCAGAAATGAGTTGGAAAAGAAGGGCCACTGAGGGGACACCTGCCCTGGGCACATGAAGAACTCATAGTCCACTCTCTACAAAATGGAGTGAGTGATGTGGCACTCCCAGCTTCTACAGAGACTTTCTCAAGTGTCTCAACTGTTTCTTAGCAACCTTTAAAGGAAATTGTGTTAGTTCCTACTATTAAGCAAACAAAAGCAACGTATTTTTCAGGATTCTCTTGAACCCCTGATGTTCACATGTCTTTATATGGAACTTTCAATATTCTGCTTTGTGTTATCTTTATCAAACCTATCATAAAACCCAGGATCCTGATCTCTGCTCTAAATTCCTGTCATATTGAACCAGACACAGTGTTGTTCCTTATCCCAGAGTTACCTTACACTGTTAATTCCATTCTCACTCTCTGCCTTTGGGATCTTTTGCTAGCTCTATTCTTCTTCCAATGGGATGACTAGACTCATTGATCCATTCTATTACTAAAGAAAAAAAAACACTCACCCATGAAGTGATAAATAGTGGAACTGGCCTTAGAATGAATTGAGTTTCATGTTTACTATGCCCCAGAGAGGCTATCTTACTATCACAAGTCATCACTTGTTCTGTGACATGAGCTCAGGTTGATGAGCTGGGGGCCTGTTTATTAGTCTTATAATTTATACCTTAAAATCCTGAAGTGCTGTGCCTTTGTTTTTCTCTACAAGCATGAAAAAGTGGCATGAACCAAAGTAAAAATAGAAAAAAAATTAAACGTACAAAGGAGTACACAATCAGAAAAGAGTGTAGTTGTAGGAAAAAGAAACTAAGATAAGGAAGACTTCATATTCCTAGGCACAGATAAAGGTTTGAAACAAAAACCAAACTGTGAAATTAAAAAGTAGATAAAGCTTGAACCTCCCCTAAAAAGATGACGCTGTACATGCAGTCATTCTGCTCGGTCACTAAAACATTCCTCTCACAGGCTTTCTCCATCTTGGTGTATACTACGTGTGACTTCTTAGCCACGGCTCAATGAGATCTGCCCTAAAACCTTTGGTGCATCAGAGATACTATTTTAACAGTATTTTTTAAGTATTAAGATACATTCTTGGATTATAACTGTGTTTCTTAGGAAAATTCTAAAGCAATTTAACATAAAACTATAATTGATTTTCTGAATCGACCATATGGATCTATTTCTTGTCCCTGTGCTGTACAGGGGTTTCTCAGTCTATGAAAAAAATCAAGATAATTAATTATAGAACCACTCAGTCTGACATGTACATCGTGGTCTGGGTACTTGTTGATTGTGATTGGATGGAACAATTAATCAAACTCTGAATGATGATTGTTTAATTAGTAAAAGAAGTAAGTTATAATAGCACATGTCCTTTTGAATAACTTGTTATAACCACTAATAAAAAACATTAAACATACAATATGAAATCAAGGACTAAGTACAGAAACACAGAGTTTCCTTTCATTGCATTCTATAATCAGTTGACAATCTTTTTTAAGGTTACAGATCCTACCTGATTGAAGAGTAGTTTTCAGAGCTCTGAGGGGCTGTCAAAGAAAAGACAGAATTTACCTTGTGTAGATAACATGACTCAGCCAAGTATTAAAAGTGCAGTAGTTAAGCGTGGGGATACTCTACAATGAATACAAACTATATGACTGTGGGCAAGTGATGTATTAAAAGGGCCTAGGCCCTGCTCCAAATAATATGACAGACACTGAAGAACCCCCATGGAGGGCCTCACCCTCCCTGGGGAGCAGAAAGGAGATGGGATAGGAGGTTGGTGGGGGCAGGGGAAGAGGGGACGGAGAGGGAACTGGGGTTGGCATGCAAAACAAGCTTGTTTCTAATTTAAATTAAAAAATTTACTTAAAAAAGTTATTTCCCTTTGTCTTATTGTATATAAAAATGGAACATGTTAAAATGTGATGCCTTGAAGTAAATTGCCTTGTTATGACAACCATAATTCCAGCTGAGAACAACAGACTGGCAGAACATGGTGTCAATCAGCTTCTTTCCATAAACTGGCAGTAGTATACAAATATTCTCTGGCTGCCTATGGAGAAGAGATCATGAGAGGAAGTGTAAGGCTCCATTTTGCTAATCCTCTTCTAAAAGATGCTAAAACTCACTCAGTTTTCACTATTTTTTTTTTTTTCATTCTTCCCTTTGGTGCGAACAAGATTGAATGTCACTGGGTATTTTGCCTACCATAGAAGGAACTACTGGAGTGACTGAACCCTTAAGAGACTATTTGGGGCTGAAGAGATGCCTGAGTGGCTAAGAGCACAGGTTGCTACTCCAGAAGACCTAGGTTCAATTCCCAGCACCCACATGGTGGCTCGCTAGCTTGTAATGCCAGTTCCAGGGGATCTGATGTCCTCTTCTGGCCTCTGAAGGGCACTGCATGCACATGGTGCACAGATACTCATTCCAACAAAACATCAGTACACAACAGATAGACATTTGGGCAAAACACCAATACGCATAAAATAAAAGTGAATAACTCTTTTAAATTTTAAGAGTATATCTACTCCCAAACCATAGCTAATAGTAAGAGGGAAGTTTATAAACAAGTAAGGCAGTGAGGTAGGAGCAACTATCAAGGACAAAGGACATGGACAATCAAACATGAAATTACAGACATAACCACTCTCTCAGGTTTTCAGAATGTGACCACAGTTGGCTCTCCCTAGTGGGACAAATTAAATGTGATTTTTTTTCACTCCTTGTTAAAGTGTGAAAAAACAATGTAAGGTATAGGAAACATTACCTGGGGTTTGGGGGTCAGGAGATGAACACTTGCTTAGTATTTGGAAGGCCCCAAGTTTAATATTTAATATTCAGCATCATAAACTAATAGTGGAAAACATTAAATAAACCATGTATAGACTTGTTTATGCTTGTCCAGGAAAAGAAAATTGATCCTATAGCTTCATCAATGGTATTCACACTCTAATATTATATAGCAAAGTTCATACAATAAAGTTTATGGAGGCATTCTTAAAGTACACCCTTTAACTTATGCTCCCTCCAGCCCTATTCTAAAACTTTTAGCATGAGAGCATATTGGATTTTTTTTCAAAGGCCTTTTCTGGAACTTTTGAGATGATAGTGTAATTTTTGCCCATAAGACAATTTATATGATTTATTGTGTTTGTTGACTTGTGTATGTTGAACTATCCCTGCATCCTTTAGATAAATCTAACCTATGTGTTGGATAATTGTTTTGATATATGTCTGTATTTGTTTTGCAAGTGTTTCATTAAGGATTTTTCATCTATGCTCATCAGGGATATTGGACTATACTTTGTGGTGGTGTTTTTGCCTGGTTTGGATGTTAAAATAATAGTGGCTTCATAGAAGGGGTTTGGAAATGCTCCTTTAGTTCCACATTTTTAATAACTTAAGAAATATTGGCCATGATATTCTTTGAGAAGTCTGGTAGAATACTACTATGAATCCATCTGTGCCTGGCCTTCTTTTGGAAGGCTTTTCATTACTGTTTCAATATCCTTATTTGCCATAGGTCTGTATTAGTCACTTTTCTATTACTATGATAAAATACCATGACCAAGGCAAGGTATAGAAGTAAGAGTTTATTTGGGCTTATGATTCCAGAGGCTTATGATCACCATCCTGGCTGGAAGGCATGGCAACGGGGAGGTATGGAGGCTGAAGTCACAAGCTGAGAGCTTATATTTTCAAACAACGATGAAGCAGAGTGAAAATAGGGATGGTCTTCTAAGCTGTCAAAGCCCACCCCCAGGGACACACTTCCTCCAACAAGCCACATCCTCCAAGCCTCCCCAAACAAAATATCAAACTGGTGACCAAGTGCTCAAATAGATGAGTAAATGGGGGACATTCTCAGTCAAACCACCACAGGGTCTGCTGATCTCTTCTTGGTTTAAATTTAGTGAAATACACCCATTTCTTTTATATTTTCCAATTTAATGGGATACATGTTACAAAAGTATTCCCTTATGTATTTTGGATTTCTTTGGTGTCTTTTATAATGTTTCTCTGTTCATTTCTGACTCTGTTAATTTGAGTCATCTCTTTCTTTTGATTAATTGGGCCACAGGTCTGCTGATCTTAATTATCTTCTCAAAGAACCAGCTCTTAAATTTTGTCCACTCCCTGATCCCATAGGATTGTATCATAATGAAAACTGCCTTCAGTCCAACATCAAAAGTCCTCATAGTCTATCACAATCCCAACAATGTTTAAAAATCCAAAGTTCAAGCATAGTTTCCCTGAAACTCATGAAATCTCTTAACTCTAATCCCCTGTAAAATCAAAATCAAAAAGAAGATCACATACTCCCATGAACAATGGCACAGAATATACATTACCTTTCCAAAAGAGAGGAAATGGGACATAGTGAGAAAATATGGGCCCAAAGCAAGACCGAAAACCAGCTGGGCAAACCCTAAATTCTGTGTCTCTGTTCAAAAGCTCTTCAAGTCGCCAACTCCTTTCAGCTTTGTTGACTACAACACACTTATCTCTAGGGCTGGTTCCACACCCAGTCTGCAGCTTTCCTCGGCAGGTATCCCATGGCCTGGAGACTTGACATTTTTCTTCTGGAATACAACTACCAAAAGATGTCTTACCTGAGTTGTTCTGTCTTAAGCTTTGTATTAGGGTATACTCATAATCCAAAAGTACTGTCCTCCTGTCATATACAAAAATGTGGTACACAAAATCATTACTTTAATGTTGGTATGAAAGCCATGCCAAACACATTAAATTATTAAGTGTTTTAGTCGATATCAGTGTGTTTTGATATAGTCTTAAAAATTAACTTGGATATATTTTATTAAACTTTTAATTAGATAAGGAAATAACAAAGAAATGGTGATGAATCAAAGTCAGCACAAGCACTAGGTCATTTTGACAAAATGAGAAGTATCGTGACCTCTGATATAGCCCTAGCTTCATAACTAACAGCTATTTCTAGATATAGTTTCTCTAATGGTAAAAATCTTAGACTTCTAAAAACCAATAAGGACTTTAATGCTTTAATTCACCAAGTTACTATGAAGACTTAACAACATAAAAATATTAAGAGGCAAATAGAAAAGCAACAGAATAATTTGTATCTTAACAGTGAATTGCTTTGAAAACTAAAATGAAACCTATATGTGTTTTTCTTCACAGAAACCAATGCTCCAATATTACAGCTTTCAGCAAATGTAAAATGCTAGTATGTTTACTAGTTGTTCCATTATGTTTGCTTTGTAGTTTAGAGACTAATAGCCATTGAATAGTTTAGAACTAAAATTCATATTAACATATAAAATCCTTAAATTATCAAAATGGTTATTCATTGTTATTGAACTAATAAATCATAACAAAAAATTTTTACAAATAAATTTTTAAAAACTAAATATTTCTCCTTTACCAAATCCAATCTTAATCCACACACCATTGTTACAAAGATGATTAATTGTCATGGTTGTCACTGTATTAGTTACTTTTCTGATGCTCTAATAAAACAATATAACCAAAGCAACTGACAGAAGGAAAGGTGGGAACAGATGCAGAGACTCATAGCCAGAACTGTGTGAGAGAGAGAGTCAAAATGGAATGTCTCCATCAAATCCCTCCCCTCAGAGCTCAGGGAATCCTGCAGGGGAGGCGATGGAAAGATTGCAAAAGCCAGGAGAATGGAGGACATCAGGAGAATAAGGCCTTCTGAATCAACTAAACAAGATGCATATGAACTCATAGAGACTGAAGCAGCAAGCACAGGGCCTACATGTCTGCACTAGGTCCTGTGTGTATATATTATAGCTATTAGCTAAGTATTTTTATGGGACTCCTGTCTGTGAGAATGAGTGGGTCTCTGACTTTTGTGCCTGCTCTTGGGACACTTTTCCTCTGGTTGGATTGCTGTATCCAACTTTGATATGATCATTTTGTTTTATAATTTGTAATATTTTATAATATAAAAATACAATAATTTTATTTTGTCATGCTTGGTTGTTATCTCTTAGAAGCCTATTCTTTTCTAATGAGATACAGAAAGGGAGTAGATCCAGAGGGGTGATAAGGTGGGCAGGAACTGGGAGGAGTAGAGGGAGAAAGAATAATCAGGAAATAGTATTTTAGGCATGGGGCAGGTGCAGGAAGCTGAGCACTCACATTTACAAATATAAATATGAAACAGAGAAAATGAACTAGAAGTCACATGAGGGTTTTAATCTCAAAGCCCACTCCAGTGACATCCTTCCTCCTGCAAGGCTGCACCACTTTAGGCTCCCCAAACAGTATCACCAACTGGGGACTAAGTCCCCAAACATATAAGACTAAGAGAGATATTTTTTTATTTGAGTCACTACAATCACCAACTGGAATCTTTTCATACATGCACACTGTTAAGACATCATGGGACTTATGTCTGCCAATACAGGTCATCTTCTGTTTAGTGGCTTATTTGTGAGGCAAAATTTGAAAATATATTGAAATCTTGAAGGACAGATTCACATGACTTGGAAGATTTTCATTAATATGGAAAAAAATCACTCAAGTGGATTTTCCAATCCAGAGTTGGAACCTTCCCTGAGAAGTGATTTAAGTTCATCTCCACCCAGAAATGGGGCTATTCCGACTATAAAAGAGTTTCTAGGTGAAGTTCATAATCAAAGAAGAGCAGAATCTTTTAGCTTGTCTTGTAAAATTATTGAACACTGATTTTTTTGAGGGGAGTGGCCACAACACATATTTGATGGAAGAATACCCAAAATCCTCTTAGGTAATCAATCATGAAAGTCTAGGCCCACAAGTTGACTGCAAATAAAGTTTGAGAATGGATGGGAAAGTTTACTGTCAATAGGTAAAGCTAAGACTCCAAGCTGTTAAGGTAGAGCACTTTTGGAACAATATCTGTCTTAGGGTTTTTATCACTGTGAAGAGGCACCATGACCATGGCAACTCTTTTAAAGAAAACATAATTGGGGTAGCTCATTTACAGTTTCAGAGGTTCAGTCCATTATCATCATGACAGGGAGCATGGCAGCGTGCAGGCAGATGTGGTGGAGAACTGAGAGTCCTATGCCTTGCATGCCACAGGAAGTCAACTGACTGTCACACTAAGGGAAGCTTGAGCAAAAGAGACCTCAAAGCCCATCCCCACAGTGACACACTTCCTCCAACAAGGCCACGCCTCCTAATAGTGCTCCTTTGGGAGCCATTTTTTTCAAACCACCACAAAATCCTAACTGAAAAAGAATATATGAAAAAAGAATATATGAAATGAAGACATTGTTCTAATGATTATGTGAATATTATCACAAAAACTCAGGGATCTGAATAAGGGCAATCGAGGGATAGTTGTTAATCATTACTGTACCGAAGGATCCGCTAGTGGCAAAACTGTAACAATAGAATCACAAAAAAAGACATGACTAGAATTTCTTCTAGTTGAGAAACTTGCACTTACAAACTAGTTTAGTTTCCTGGAATTTCAAGTAGCAGTGTGTAGAAGAAAGCTTTTAGGGATTTTCTACTAAAATGGACATTATAAGACTAAAGCAAACAATCAAAAAAAAAAGCAAAATGTGACAGTGTATCTGATGCACAAGGGTTGTGTTCGGAATGAAATGGAGCACTCTGGAATCCCTAAATATGAAGATCTTCAAACTCCTGATACTGAGGTTAAGGATGTAACTCAATGGTAGAATATTTGCCTTGCACACAGGTCCAAAATTATTAAAAATCAAATGTGTCTTGGGATTAAAATTTCATGCACTCATTTCTACTTCTAAATAATCCATCATTTTCCTTGGTTTCTAAGTGATGAAGTGGATGAACTCTCTTCCATTTCAAAACTAGCTAAACCAACAATGAAATATCACCTCATGTAATTATCTGAAACAATTAATATTAATTAGAATTACTTACACCTCCCGATCACCTTCAATAGCATATCGTAAAGCAGTCCATCCAAACAAATCTTTAAAATTCATGTCAACACCTTGTTGAAGAAGAAGGTTGACCATAACTGATGAATCACATCTTACAGCATACATGAGAGAATTTCTAAGATAAAAATAACTTCAGTTACAGAACTTAATATAATTATTTGAATGATTTTTGGATATACTTTACCAAATAGCTTGCCCAACTGTGTAGAATTATTAATAGACATAAGTATTTGGGGAGATCCATTATTCAACACTTCAAGTTATCTTCAAAGCTAAAAAGACAAAACACTCTGGTAGACTCTTTTCCCACTATTCTATCACCTAATAGGATTCCCAATTTAATATTCTCAGATGAACAACTGTGGTAATAAGGAACACTTATCCAAAGTACATCAAGATTTATGAGATTTCTCCATTTCTTCCATCAATCAGTGTAGTATAATGTAATTTATACTCATGTCAAGTAAGTAAAATATTTGTGTGATTAATAAAAATAACAACATAAAATGACATTGATAAAACAATGGTTATACAGAGGAGAGGTTACCTTAAATGCCCTCCCCTAATAATAAGATTGATGACTGACTTATATGCCATCCTATAGCCTTCATCCAGCAGCTGGAGGAAGTAGAAGCAGACACCCACAGCTAAACACTGAACTGAACTGGAATCTAGTTGCAGAGAAGGATGAGGGATGAGCAAAGGGGTCCAGACCAGGCTGGTGAAACCCACAGAAACAGCTGACCTGAACAACAGGGAGCTCTTGGTCCCCAGATTGATAGCGGGGAAACCAGCATGGGACTGATCCAGACCCCAGGAATGTGGGTGTCAGCGAGGAGACCTCGGAAATCCATAGGGCTTCTTATAGTCGATCAGTACTTATCCCTAGCATAGGTATGGACTTTGGGAGCCCATTCCACATAGAGGGATACTCCCTGAGCCAAGACACATGGGGGTGGGCCTAGGCCCTATCCCAAAGGATATGATAGACTCTGGTGACCCCCTATGGAAGGCCTCACCCTCCCAGGGGAGCAGAAAGGATATGTGATAGGTAGGGTTTTAGATGGGGGTATGGTAGGGGAGGAAGGGAGGGAGAGGGAACTGGGATTGTCATGTAAAACAATCTTGTTTCTAATTCAAATAAAAATGGAAAAAAATAAAAATAATGGTTATAGTACTTTCAGTTAATGATGCTGATTAGCACTGATGGGCACTGAGGTAAAACATATATTAATATTTTTTTCAGACAGGGATTCAATATGTTTGTTTTGCTATATAGGTCAGGCTGACCTCAACCTCAGAGATATACCTGTCTTTGTCTCCTGAGTGCTAGAATTAAAGGTATGTATTGCCACAGCCAGCTCCCACATGAATGAGCTTATAACCACCCTTCAAGTACATTATTACATTTTTATATATTAGGGATGTGTTTCCCCTGGTTTAGACACACAGAACTGGGAAGCAATGCCAGCCAAGATCTAAGGGAGCTTGCCATCTTTCAGCCTGGCAGCAGAAGATAACATCTTCCATGTGGCACTGGCACAAAGAATGCAAGAGTTATGTAATTGTGGGGATGTAGACCAAGGTTTCATGAAGAAAATTAAACCCATGAAGCCAGGCAGTGAGGAACAGGCTGAAATTTCCTGCATAGAGCTCCTAATTGAGTTGTATGTTGTGCTGTGGATGGGATTCTAACTTACAACGGAGACCTCAGGGTTGTTCGAGATGTTAGATACACAGGAATCCTTGGGAGGAGATCTCCTATACTCTCACCATCATGGAGATACTATATCATGGTTTCCCTGCCAAGACAGATGATACATTCTGAGGACATGAGCCAAAATAAATCTTCCCTCCATTAATTTCCCTCTGTCCTTATGTCATGCCTATATGAAAAGTAACTAATAAACAATTATTTTCTATTTTATACTCAATATAGAATTTTCTAAAGAAAAATATATTAAAACAAAATTAATACATTTTTAGCTAATATAAGATCATATGTACTAATATTGGATTAAAATTAGAGAAATCAGTTGATGGGAGATGTCATTCTGTAAATACATTTATCTTGATGAATAGATGAATAAAACACTGTTCTGTCAATCAGGCAGGAAGATAGGTAGGACTAAGAGACAAGGAGGATTCTGGGAAGTGTAGGCAGAGAGGAGTCGTTATGTGATCCCTGGAAGAGGGGACATGAGTCAGGCGTTCTCTGGTAAGAGAAGACCATGTAGATATACATAGATAGTTATGGGCTAATAATTAAGACAGAGCTAGATAATAAGAATCCCAAGCGATTGGCCAACAGTTTCATAACTAATATAGCTTCTGTGTGTTAATTTGGGGCTCAAGAGCCTCAGGACCTGCTGGGCCAGAAAACTCATGCTCACAATCAGTCAATATTAATAAGAGAGTATGAACCCTATTATATATTACTCACTTTGAATTATTGAAATTCTAAGCTGGGTGTGGTGGCTCATGCCTTTAATTTCAGCCCCCATGAGGCCGAAGCAAGCAGATCTCTGCATTCAAGACCAGCCTGATCTTACAGAGTGAGTACTAGAACCCTGTCTTGGGAGTGGGGGTCGAGGGAGCAATTCTACCTAACAGATAATATATGTTTGGTTTTCTATATATCCTGTAAGTTAATCTCATTCCTGTTAATGTAATATTTTTATGTGCACAGTTGTTTCCATTTTAGAACAACATTACTGGATTTTGTAAGTCAGATGACTCTACCTTCTGTGAGAATCAACTGCATGTACGCTTGCTTCCATCTTTATTAAAAATTGTGCCATGTGCAGTCTGTTTTCCCTGAGAGCAAGCAGTAGTGGTGTGAGGTTATCCTGTAAAACAACAAAATGAACTTACATTGTGCAAAGGCTCCATGGACACAAACATATGATCAGGGACAGTTTTAGATGTGGGTTAGGGATGCAGGGATAAAGGAGAGTGCGTTAAAAGCCTTTCCTTTTCATTCCGCTATGCTTTCCTGCATGCTACACATTCTCTTTAAAATATTGCCCCTTGCCTACAGTTGTAACATGAACCCTAGTCCTCTGCAAACCTCACTTGACATAGTTTTGCTGCTATAAAACTTTGCTCCCCTTATTAAATTTATCTTGGTATTTTGGAGTCATGTAATTGCTCCCATCTAAACCTCAATGTTCTTGAGGGCAGGGGCTATATCTTTATCTCAGACACCCAATCACAAACACAGTAGCAAAGATTTTCATTGCTTTATTGGATTAATGAGCTAAATTTCCATGTCTAGAGGCCCCCAAAAATATTTCCGTTGCAGAAGTATCTATCGTGCTGCAATAGAAAGACTTTATGATCAGCTGTTTACTGCTCTAGTCGATAGGGGGAACCTGGGAGAACGGGGCCTAAAAAGAAAGCAGACTAAAGTTTCATGCAACAGCCAACATTATTCAGAGCATCCGACAATTTATAGTCAGAGGATTAAGAAGAGTCACATGAGTAAGGTGTTCAATCACAAGGACAAGCCACACATGGCAAAGACATGTTTTTGCACAGAGGCAGATGAATAACAACACCTGAAGCAAACTCACTCCTATTGGCTACACCTAGGAAGAGCATGAAAACACATTCCCAGAATAATTCTGTGTTTTGAAGAAACTGAGGTCGTAAGATTCTTGCCTTATTTTCTTGGAGTTTTCCCACAAGCACTCAGAATTCTTGAATGACTCCATTCTTGGACTGTGTTCCAACAATTGTGAAATACAAAAACACCATGCAGTGTATGTAACTTGAGTTTTGGCTTATTTTCATTTGGTAATGCATTTTGAGCCAATCATCAGCATTTGAAGATTCAGAAAGCAAAGTCAGTCACAAGCTGTAGAGGTCAGGCAGTGGTGATACACACCTTTAATCCCTGCAGCCATAGAGCTAGGCCGTGGTGATACAAATCTTTAATCCCAGGACTCAGGAGACAAAGGCAGAAGATGGAGCTCTCTGAGTTCCAGGCCACCCAGGGCTACATGAGATTGGATCAGTCTAAAAGAGCAACAGAGTTTACACCTTAATCCCAAGACTCATGACAGGTATTTAAGACAGAAATAGGGCCTCAGAGCTGAGCTAGCATTCATTCTCTAGCCACACTGAAGATAGAAAGGCATTCATTCTCCAGCCACACTGAGGAGAAGATACAGTCTGAAGCTTGGTAAAAGATTGTGGAGACAGGATCAACCCTTTCAGTCTGAGATAGAGCTAAGAGCTAATAGCTGGCTGTTTTGCTTCTCTGATTTTCAGCTTGAAGCATAAACCCAGTATCAGAATCTGGGTCATTTGTTATTTGTGTTACAATTCACTGATTAGAAATTCAACAACTGTAAAGAGTTTGGAATGTCACAGTTCAGAGCCAAATTATATTAGGCTATCTTTAGCCCTCTTAATACACATGAGTTACCCTCCGCTATGTGTGAGCTAATGTCTTTGATCATTAGGTAAAATCTAATTACAAACAGACATAGAGCCCACATCAACCAAAAGGCTGAGTGTTACCAGATAGCATCTGAGGCCCATAGCAGCGATGTCTCCACTTTACTTTAACCATTCACCTGCTTGCATCAATGAAATTGAAAACTGTCTTTATTTATTACCTCTTTGTTCTATTACTATAAATGTTTTTACAAAACTGCTTCTACTTTGGAACATTCAGAGTAGGAATTTAGGGTGACCTAATCTGTGTTCTTAGACCATGGTCATTTATGTTTGGTCTCCCATTCCATGTGGGTCACTACGGAAATGGACATCTAGCATCTTCAAAAGGACTTTAAATATTTCTTAGTAAGTGGTCTGTGAGTTTTCTGATATTATAAGTTGAAGAATGTCTTAACTGTTAGAACGTTCAGTACAAATGTTTTCTCACATTTACTAATAATACTGTACTACTAATAATACCCTTGTACTACTCTTTTTTTGGGGGGGGTTCAAGTTCTCACCTGTAGCCTAGGGTGGACTGAACTCATGCTTCATGTTTACTATGACTCTAATTACTATTTACAGTTACTTTTCATAAGCCAAAAATTAAAAGCCGGGGCTGGAGAGATGGCTCAGAGGTTAAGAGCACTGACAGCTCTTCCAGAGGTCCTGTGTTCAATTCCCAGCAACCACATGGTGGCTCACAACCATCCTTTATGAGATCTGGTACCCTCTTCTGGTGTGCAGATATACATGGAAGCAGAATGTTGTATACAGAATAAATAAATGAAATCTTTTTAAAAAATTAAAAGCCAGTGACTTCTCAATGGAATTCCAATATTAATATAGATGCCAACATATATGATTTATAATATGACAAATGCCACTAAATTACTCATACTGTGGAAGAGAAAAAGTGTTGCTTGCAACTTGACTATCTTGTCTGTCTAGTTAGCGTAACTAACCAACAAGACCTCCAGATATTCCACTGGGAATTTCATTACTTATAGTACAGACAAGAGAAACTTTGCATACTGGAAAGAAACAGGGCCGTGGGCATGCTCCACAATCACTCTGCCAGGAAGCTATGTTCCTAGGCCAAGGATACTTTTAAAGAATTGCTTTGAGATTTTTTGAAATTTTTATTCACTTGTGTGTCTGTTTGTCCACATGTGAGTATGTGCATGTATATGTGGTTGCCTGTAGAAGCCAGAAGAGGGTGTCACATCTCCCTTGTGCAAGAGTTACATGTGATTGATAGTAAGCTGCCTGACTTGAGGGCTGGGAACTGAACTCTGCTCCTCTGGAAGACCAGCAAGAGCACCTATCTGCTAAACCAGCTCTAAAGCCCCGGCCAAGAAAAAATTTAACATGTTAATTTCATATAATGTTGAAAACTTAGAAACTTATATTACAATAAGCATAAGCAAAGGGTTGTAGACTCAAATACTAACAGACCAATGACATGACACAGAGAAATACTGAAGTGGGTTCGTTGCAAACTGGAGCAGACTTGGGTACTCTCTGTCCAGACACTTTAGAGACACCCCCCCACCCCACTTCTCTTGCTGCTGCCTCTCTGCACCCAGCATAGGCCCCTGCCCTAAACTGGTGAGTCTTTCATGTCGTCATTGGCACCTACTCATCTCTGAACCAAGTGAAATCCCATGCTGAGTTACGTCCCTCCCGTGGCATGGTCCAGGACTGTTGCTCAGACCATTTTGTATTTTGTGGAGTGTTCAGTATCATGTTTGATCTACCTGCTGTGACGTTTGTCATGCATCTGGGAACTTGGGAGGTACAAGGATGTTTGTCTCTTATTCTCCACTTGCTTGATTCACAGGCCTCATAATGGGTACCTCACTCTCAACTACCTAATGACTCTCTGCTAGATTGTAGCCGGAGTTTTTTACTCTTTCTCTTGGGGGCCCACCACCAGATCCCAAAACAATACACAGAAACTCATTCTTCTTTACGAATGCCCGGCCTAAAATTGGTTTGTTTCTAGCAAGCTTTTCTAACTTAATTTAACCCGTTTCTCTTCTACTATATTTTGGCTCTAAACTTTTTACCTTTCTTTATTCTACGTGTCTTTCTTCCCTTCTTACTCCACGGCTGGATGTGTGGCCGTGTGGCTGTGTGGCCGTGTGGCCGTGTGGCCGTGTGGCCGTGTGGCCGTGTGGCCGTGTGGATGGCCCCTGGATCCTCCTCCCCTTCTCTTCACACGCCTCACTCTTCTTTATTCCCTCTGCCTGACAGCCCTGCCTCTTTCTCTCTCCTGCCTTGCTATTGGCCATTCAGCTCTTTATTAGACCAATCATGTGTTTCAGACAGGCAAAGTGGCACAGCTTTACAGAGTTAAATGAATGCAAAGCATCTTTGCATCATTAAACAAATATTCCATATCATAAAAGAATGTAACACATCTTTAACTAATATTCCACAACACTAAATAGCTTTTACATACTCTCAAACATACTTTATCCTGGGGGAGAAATCAATCAAAGAGATTGATAAGTTGCTGTAACAGCATCTGGCCACAGTATAAATCAGGCAATGGATTTCAGTGGCCTTAAAAAGGTACCTTCTATGTTAAAATTCTTGCTGACTTAGAACTACTTATGGCATAATGGTAAATGGTAGTAGACAGATGCCTTTAGTTAAAGCCTGATTCTACCTCAGAAACTCCCCCTGCCTTTGCCAGTCTTGCACAGCATTCTATATTCTGTAACTCTATGAAAAACTGCCCATTTCTCTAGCCTCCTTGGCACTGCTGTCTGTCTCTGCATCCAATCAGTCCCCTGACTAGATGCCAGGGCCCACTCATGGTCTTTCTTGGATGGCACTGACATCTGCTGAGAGCTGGCCTCCCCACATAGGTGTCTGCCTGGATCCTCCAATGCTTCCCAATGTATCAGACTCAACCTTTCCAAAACGATGGGTTTCACTCTGTGTATCATGACTCACCTTCAATAGCGCCCCCTTCCTGCATCTCTCTCAGGCTCAGTTCTACTTACCCTCCCCTGCTCCCCACTTACTCAGCCATAACTCAGTACTTATGCAAGTGACTTTAAGAGGGTTACAACTATTCTTGGCCTCTACAGCAAAACTCTTCAAGGAATCTCACTTTTCACTGTCTGCCCAGACTATCTTTTGAAGCTGAGGCTCCCCTACTCCTCTCTGTCTTCAAACTTCTCTCTGCCTGCAGGTGAAAGTGATAACATGTCCTTACTTTAATAGTGTTTTGAGGGATGGAGAGATGTTTCAGCGGTTAAGAGCACTGACTGACTGCTCTTCCAGAGGTCCTGAATTCAACCCCAACAACCACATGATGACTCACAACCATCTGTAATAAGATCTGGTGCCCACTTCTGGCCTGCAGGCATACATGCAGACAGAACACTGTACACAATGACTAAATATTTTTTTTAAAAAAAATAGTGCTTTGATATAATTGTTCATTTACCCAGACCTCCTACCTTATTTAAGTCAAGTTTTCATGTTTAAAGATTCAAGTGTTTCCCCATCTTAAGATTCAAATGTCCTCACTGTCTTTGTAAAAGAATTTTCTTATTCAGTATAATTTGGGTGAAAGAGATACAATTCTAAATTAACAACAACAACAAAAAACCCTCAGTTTTGGAGACACCCAAGTTTTAAACCCATAGTTAATGCCTGAGCCAAAAGTTTCCTATTTATATGTATTAAATAGGCCAAATCGATTAGACAGCCACTCCACTAGCATCAGCTCCTTTACTGCAGTAGGGGTGCTTATCCAGCTTCAATTAAAGCACAGTCTCTCTCATCTGGCATCTTTGCTCCTTTCAGAAATAATATTCTTAATTGTTTTAGTGCTAGATATAACATTTCTGTTATATCAGATACACAAGACAAAATTAACTAATTAAACCTGGATAAAAACATGTCTAATAGATACTAGGATCCAGAAGGGTCTTCCTTAGTAACCTTTGAGAATTATTTCTTCCCCCTGAAGATCTGCCTTCCTGATGTTGCAGCCTCACCAGATTCCAGGAGAAGCTCCTGGCTACAGTGGGACATGAGCTGCCATGGATATAAGCCGAGGCTTCCAAGAGCAACTACATCTGTTGGAACTTCCACAAGCTGTACTCTTCCTAGTACATCTCTAATTAGGGAGAGTTAGAATGTTAGAGGTCCAAAGGCAAAATTATATTGGGCTATTTTAGCCTTTTAAAAGCCCAGTCTGTGTTTACCTGCCTCCCCCACAGGAAGACCCCTTATTTCCCATTTACCCTATCGGGTCACTTGTATCCTGCTATTCCCCTTTACCCTCCTCCCACCTTCTTCTGTATATCCACAAATAAGTGTAGTCTTCCTATTGCACCAAAGAAACTTCTCTTTGCAACAAAGTGCTACAGAAACTACAACCAATCAAAACGTGGAGTTGTGGAACCCAGTCCCAATGGATACATTTACAAAATACTCCCACACCTGAGGCTCAGGGAACACTGCTGCAGACAGGGCAAAAAGATTTTAAGAGCCAGAGAGAGGAGCAGGAAGTTTTCTGTGAGATTGTCTCCTAACACTAGAAGCTATACCCATATAGTTCCACCGACATGACTGCCCAAAATGTGAGTTGAACAAGGGTAACAACAATGAACATGCCAAACTAGATGGGGAAAGCTCAAGAGGCCTCAACCCTCCACAAAGAACTACAGGCAACCGGGTGAAACTGGGGGTGGGAGAGGTGGTCCTCCCCAAGAAGAGCACACCAATTGATCAAATGGTCAGCCCTAAAAACATACATAAACATGGACTCAACATATTATATTTATGAGTATATATGTGTATACATTTATATATGTAATGACAATTAATGAAAAATGGGTCATAAATTTGAATGAGAATGGGAGGGGTTTATGGGAGTGTTAGGGAGGAAAACAAACATTGTAACTAAATTACAATCTCAAAAATAAACAATTAACAACAGAAATGGTCAAACCTATCACCTCCTGTAGGGAGATACAGTAACCATGCCTCCTAAGGGCTGGCTACAGGTGTGCTTGACCATGCCTGTCAAAGCGTGGTCAAGGTGAGGTCAGAATGACGCAGCATGGGCTCTTAAGCGACCACAAGCACATGGAATACTCTCTTTCCTTTCTGCTGCCCCTTCTCTCTGGCATATCTGCCTTGCTGCCCCTGGGCACGCGCTGGCTTGCGTTTGGCTGGTATTTATCTGAATAAAGGTATCTTGAATCTACAAGCTTTTTCCTTCAACATCCCTCTGCAAAAGACATCACATTATTGTGATGGATACTCAAAGCTATTTTGATTAAATTTGAGTATAGCAACCTTACTGGGACCAATCTTTATTCTCTGTCTTCCTCACAACCTCTTCACAAATCAAAAATTTAAATCTTATGATCTTAATGATCCCCTTCTCTCAGTAATTCTAACTTAAAATGAATTGAAAGCTCTTCTTGGACTTCCTTTAATATCTGTCTTGACTCTGTATCTACAGATTGATTTCTGAATCTGTATGCTGGTCCAGGTCATCCACTGTACTGTTCTGCACATTACTTGGACTCAATAGCATCCTCCTAGGAGTGAGTGCAGATGCCAGTCTTTGTTCTAGAGGCCAACACCTGACTACCCATGAGAGAAGATGAGGTTCCTCCCTGGAACTTCAACCCTGTTGAACTCAGTTGGATGGAGGTGACAACCACTATCACTTGAGCCTCCTCCTTCATCTCCTCTTTCTGTAAAATCACTTTTCTGTTTGTTTCTTAAACCTCAGGCTGGGCTGTAAGAATGTAGTGCTAGAGTCTGCCTGCTTTCCAGGCTATAGTCCTTTCCGGCAGCTCTCCTCTGCCTCAGGTTTCCTCCACTATCTTTGAGTCTCTAGTTAAGAGACTTACTGATCCCGGGATCTTCACCTAGGAAGTGAGTTTATATCAAAGAGGACATTGCTGACCACAATTCATTCTCCCCACCCTCTTCCCTGCCTCCTGCCTTGGGATCAGAGAGCCTGGTGGCAGGCTTGCACTGAGAAAACTCTCCCATCCTCAATAAAACCTAGGAGACTCAAATCTTCCATTAGAGGCCTCACCATGGTGTCTGTCCATGGTGCTGAGGCCTGAACTCTCATTCAGGACCCCACCATGCTCTTGCCTCTCTATCTGCCCATGGTGTTACTATCTGTAATAAATTCCTCACTCTACAGTAATCTGTTCTAGTGTCCCTCTTCAACACCCTGAAACCTCTCAGTTAGATAGTTAACCATATCTCTCAAAATGAAAAAAAAATTAATGAAACATCTATTGTGTGCTCTAAAACCTGCTCCCTGGCATATTTGTAACTCCATAATATCCTTTCTCAAAACAGGCAAAATTATCCCCAAGTGAAGAATACCCTACCCATACAAAAAAAAACTGGAAAATACTAACAATTAACAAAGCTTTCTGGCATTATGTGTTCATTACATAACTTTCAAATTGGCTTGAATATTTCCAATCAATTTCTGTTTCCATTATTCTCCCATTAGCACCTTCCAAAGTACCAATACTTAAAGTGATTTCCCTTCCAAATGTCTAAGCATTTTTATTCACTGAGGATGATTAGCCCTGCATACATCATGGGTGTTTCTCAGCAGAATGAGCCTTACTTTTGTTCTTTCCTCAATGTTTGCTCCATACTGTAGAAGCCTGGCAGCCATTGCTGGCTTCCCACCATACACTGCATAGTGGAAAGCAGTGTTACCACTGCTGTCTCTAATGTGCAGGTTAGCATGACGCTCTAGCAGATAGCACACAATTTCCTCTTCCCAGCTTTGGACGGCCTGGAGGGATTGTAACAAGAAGTACACGGTCAATTCAAAGAATTTATAATACACTCTCATGGGTTTCACCAATTAATTATATTTGCATGAGATAAATTCATTTTTACTTTTAATTTTAAAATTCATTTTAAGCTCTAGTGCTTAAAATGAGGACTATGGTCTACCTTCATCAGGGGTGTGATGTTATGTTTGTCACACACATTAATCTGACAGCCACGCCTCCAGAGGTAATTCACCATGTCTAGATGTCCATAGAAACAGGCAAAGTGCAGGGCATTCCTATAGAGAAATTACAGTGCACTGTATTAATATGCAAAAGTATTCATGCAATCAAAACTGCTAAATAGCATACTGTGTATGTGCCTTCTAAACAAATATGTAACATTCTTCTAAAGAAACTTCTTTTCCCTTGTAAAATTTCTTCCAAAGTGCGTGTGTGCACGTGCGTGTGTGTGTGTGTGTGTGTGTGTGTGTGTGTGTGACACACACACACACACACACACATACATACACACACACACACACACACACACACACACACATCAATCTGCTTCATTTGCAGTAAGCCTCATTTAAATTTTCAGGATATAGAACACAAATCATTTGCCAGAATATAACACAAATGACTTCTATCCCAACGCATGACAGAACCTTTGGTTCCAAGTCTCCTTGGTCAGCCTTTTCCTGTCTCTTTGGCTTAGCATGCTGTCTTCTGTACTTGCAATAGGCTGGGTCATTAAGCTCTGCTCACAGCATTCTTCTCTAACACTCAGCTACAAACTTGTCCACGTTCCTACCAGGTCTTATGCCCTATAAACCATATCCTCATTCAGGAAACAGATGGGACTGTAACCAACAACTGGCTATACCCCTAAAGCCTGACCACCAGAAACTTCTGTCTATAAGGTTCCATAACTTCCAAAACAGAGCTACCATTTAAAGACAAAATGCTCAAATACATGAGTCTGGGGGGGGGGGGTGTTACCTTCAAACCATAGCATGTGTTAATCCTACCCTAAGCTCTGTTACCTACAGGCTATTTCTTACCCTTTCTAGGCTTCATTTCTGTTCTGATAAAATAGAATCTTGTGATGCTTCATTGAAAATGTATACAAAGCTTTTTGGGTGAAGGAAGGAGATAGTTTCTACTAGATAGAAATAATCTTGGTGGGGAGAGAACATCAGCAACCTAGTAACCCACTGGGAGAGAGAACTTCAGCAGCAAGAGAGTTGCCAGAGAGAGTGTCAGTGGCCAAGCAACCTGGATACACTGACAGCAGCAGCTTCCAGAAACTGTCTTAAAAAGTGCCTCTGGGAGCCAGGGGTGGGGTGCACGCCTTTAATCCCAGCTCCTGGGAGGCAGAATCAGGCAGATTTCTAGGAGTTCAAGGCAAGCCTGGTCTACAAAGCTACACAGAGAAACCCTGTCTCAAAAAACAAAACAAAAAAAAGTGCCTCTGGGAAAGAGCACGTGTACCATCAGCATCCAATGCCATTCTCTGTATGAGATACCCAGTTGCATCATCAACCACTAGAGCCTCAGACCCACTTGCACATTAAAGAGCCATCACCAGAGCAGCGGCTCTGCCTGCACTTGGAGGAGGAAAAAAAAGGAGAGAGAGAAAGCTCAGAGACTAAAGTTTGAAACAAAAACAAACAAACAAAAAAACCTAAAACAACAAAAAAGAAAGAAAACAACAACAAAAATCTCTGTGAAGGGATTTGAGAAATAGCCTCAGAAAAATTTGTTAAATATACATTTGAAAGTGTCCTAATTACCCTATGGCACTGAGACCCTAATTGTCCAAGCCTGTAATAATCAACCATGTTCTGTATAATCAAAGTGAAACAGACACTTGTCTGGTGGACCACATAGTCTCTTTAATCTTCTTCCTAAGCATGCCATCAGGAGCAAAGCAACATCAATTTAAAAGCATCTTAGTAGCTGTGTAAGTGGAAAATAAATGGCCACGTAATTCCGAAAGAGTGAAAAATAATGCAGATACCACCTTTTCTATTTAGTTTTCTGTCTTAAATGTGGGGCCTCACACATGAAATACCCGTAATTAACCTACTGGCATGAACAATGGGAATTTCAGGAACATGAGATTTCTTTGTAGCATCCTCTTTTAGCTCTTACTTAGTTGAGCACCACTGTCTTGTATTCACAGCACTTATAACATATTATACAACTGTGACATTGCCGGGAAAGTGGATAAAGGACAAACAAGTGAGTGGATCTCCATGCTGGGCACAGTGATTCATACCTATGACATCAGTTCATATTATTGTAACAGAATGCAACAGGACACAGACAGTTGTCCTAGTTCTGGAATTTGGAATTTGAGATCTGGATGGCAGCACAGTTAGGTTGTTGTTGATGATTTTTCTTCTTGATTGTTAGACAGTTACCTGGATTTAACTCTTTTGTTTACACATGGTTTGTGATTCTGATAGTTTTGCTTTTATAGGTTATTTGACCTTTTTTCCTTTGCTGCTCTTAATATTTTCTCTTTGTTGTGTATGTTTGGTGTGTTAATTATTATGTGGTGACGAGACCATTTTTTTGGTTCAGTCTATTTGGTGTTCTGTAGGCTTCTTGTATTTTCATTGGCATGTCTTTCTTTAGGGTGGGAAAGTTTTCTTTTATGACCTTCCTGAACATAACACCAGTAGCACAGACACTGAGATCAACAATTGATAAATGGGACCTCCTGAAACTGAGAAGCTTCTGTAAGGCAAAGGACACAGTCAGCAAGACAAAACGGCAGCCCACAGACTGGGAAAAGATATTTACCAACTCCACATCTGACAGAAAGCTGATCTCCAAAATATACAAAGAACTCAAGAAGCTAGTCTCCAAAACACCAAACAATCCAATTAAAAAGTGGGGTACAGAACTAAATAGACAATTCTCAATAGAGGAATCTAAAATGCCTGAAAGACACATAAGAAAGTGTTCAACATCCTTAGCCATCAGGGAAATGCAAATCAAAACAACTCTGAGATACCATCTTACTCCTGTCAGAATGGCTAAAATCAAAAACACCAATGACAGTTTATGCTGGAGAGGATGAAAACAATGGAATCTTGAAATTTGCAGGAAAATGGATGGAACTAGAAGAAACCATGCTGATCGAGGTAACCCAATCACAAAAAGACAAACATGATATGTACTCACTCATATGTGGATTTTAGACATAGAGTAAGGGATTACCAGCCTACAATTCACACTGCCAGAGAAACTAGTAAACAAGGAGGACCCTAAATGAGACAAACATTGTCCCCTGGAGAAGGGGAAAGGGTCACCGTCCCCTGAGCAAATTGAGAACATGGGAAGAGGGGGGACGGAGCTATGAGAATGAGAAGGGAAGAAAAGGAAGGATGCAGAGGTCATGAGGGAGCAGAAAGGTTGAGTCAGGTATAGATTAGAAGAAAGGATATGTGATAGGTAGGGTTTTAGTTGGGGGGGATGGTAGGGGAGGAAGGGAGGGAGAAGGGAACTGGGATTGTCATGTAATTCAATCTTGTTTGTAATTCAAATAAAAAAAAGTCAAAAGAGAGAGAGAGAGAGAAAGAAAAAAATCCCCTGGCCACATAAATAATCAAAACACTAAACATTCAGAATGAATTAAGAAAGTAAGAATATTAAGAGCTGCAAAGGAAAAAGGCCAGGTAACATAGAAAGACAGACCTAGCAGAATTACACCCAGCTTCTCAATGGAAACAATGAAATCCAGAAAGTCCTAGGCAGGCAGTATGCAGACACTAAGAGACCACGGATGCCAGCCCAGACTACTATACCCAGCAAAGATTTTAATCACCATAGACAGAGAAAACAAGATATTCCATGACAAAACCAGATAAACAACACCTATACACAAATCCAGCCATAAAGAAAGTACTAGAAGGAAAATGCCAAGCCAAGGAAGTTAGTTACACTCACAAAAACATAGGCAATAAATAATACAACACTAGCAAATCCCAAAGAAGGGAAATGTATACACAATACCAACAACAACAATAAAAACAAGAATCAACAATCAATGGTCATTAATATCCCTTAATATGAATGGACTTAACTAACCTATAAAAAAAGACCCAAGCTAATATAGTGGATACAAAGACAGAATCCATCCTTCTGCTGAATACAAAAAACACACCTCAACTTCAAAGACAGATGTTACCACAGAGTAAAGGGTTGGGGAAAGATTTTCCAATCAAATAGATCTAAGAAATGAATTGATATAGCTATCCTAATATCTAACAAAATATATTTCAAACTAAAAATAGACAAAAGAGATAAAGAAGAATATTTCATATTCATCACAGGAAATATTCATCAAGATGAAGTCTCAATTCTGAACATTTATGCATCAAATACAAGGGCACCCACATTTGTAAAAGAAACATTACTGAAGCTTAAATCACACATCAAAGTCTAAACATGAATAGCAAGAGACTTCAACACACCACTCTCACCACTGGACAGGTCTGATAGACAGAAACTTAATAGAGAAATAAAGGAACTAACAGAAGTTATGACTTAAATAGACTTAACAGACATCTATAGAACATTCCACCCAAAAACAAAAGAATATACCTTCTTCTCAGCACTTAATCGAACCTTCTCTAAAATTAACCACAAACCTCAACAAAGCAAACCCCAACAGATACAAAAAAAAAAAAAAAAAAAAAAACCCCTGTAATCTTATCGGATCACATGACTTAAAGTTAGAATTCAACAACAACACTAACTACATATAGCCCACAAACGCATGGAAATTGAATAATTCTCACCTGAATCACCACTGGGTCAAGGAAGAAATAAAGAAATTAAAGACTTCCTAAAAGTCAATGAAAATAACACACAAGCTTAGGGGACACAATGAAAGCAGTGATAAGAGCAAAGTTCATAGTACTAAATGCCTACACAAAGAAGCTGGATAAATCCTACACTATCAAATTAACAAAACAACTGAAAGCTCTAGAACAAAAAGAAGCAGTGGTGTTTGTGGTGAGAATCTTCTCAGTTTCTGGGGTGGGGGGTAGGTCGGGGTCGGGGGGCGGGCCCAGGGGGGGAGAGGAGGGGGGGGGAGAGGGGGTTGTGAAGCAAGCTTGTTCCTAATTTGAACTAATAAAAAAAGAAAATAAAAAAATACACAAAGAACTCAAGAAATTAGACACCAAAGTACCAAATAATCCAATTAAAAAATGGGATACAGGTCTAAACACAGAATTTAAGGAATTGCTCAAAATCCTCAGCCACAAAGGAAATGCAAATTAAAACAATCTTACACCTATCAAAATGGCTAAGATCAAAAACACCAAAGACAGCTTATGTTGGGGAGGATGTGGAGTAAGGAGAACACGCCTTCATTGCTGGTGGGAGTGCAAACCTGTACAGCTACTTGGAAATCAATATGGCAGTTTCGTAGAAACTTCAAGACCCAGCAATATCACTTTTGGGCATATACCCAAAGGATGCACACTCACACCACTAGGACATTTGCTCAATTATGTTCATAGCAGCATTATTTGTTATAGCCAGAACCTGGAAACAATCTAGTTGCCCCACAACTGAAGAACGGATAAGGAAAATGTGGTACATTTACATTTACACAATGGAGAACTACTCCACTGTGTTTAAAAAAAAAAAAAAAAAAAAAAAAAAAAAAAAAAAAACAAAAGAAACAAAAAACAAAAAAACAACAACAAAAAAAAACATAAACCAATGACATCTTGAAATTTGCAGCCAATGGATGGAACTAGAAAAAAACATCATGAGTGAGGTAACCCAGACCTAGAAAGACAAATATGGCATATACTCACTCATAAGTGAATATTAGGCATAAAGCAAAGGATAATCAGCCTACAGTCCACAATCCTAGAGAAACTAGGCAACGAAGAGGACCCTAAGAGAAACATACATGGATCCACTTAGGAAGGGGAAAAGGACAAGAGCTCTTGAGTAAATCAGGAGCATGAGAGGGAGGGGGGTGGAAAGGGAGAGGGGAGAAACGAAGGAGAGTGGGGAGGTGCACATGAAGGATTTGGATGTCGAGTTGGGGGAAGGACGGAGAGGGAGATCAAGGAAAGAATTATCTTGATAGAAGGAACCATTCTGGGATTATTCAGAAACCTGGCACTAGGGAAATTGCCAGGAATACACAAAAATGACCCCAGTTAAAACTCTAAGTAATAGTGGAGAGGGTGCCTGGAGTAGCCTTCCCCTGTAATCAGATTGTGGACTACTGTAATTGTCATCATAGGACTTTCATCCAGTAATTGATGGAAGGAGATGCAGAGATCCACAACTACCCACTGGGCTGAGCTCCTGGAGTCCAGTTGAAAAGAGAGAGGAGCGATAATATGAGCAATGGGGTCAAGACCAGGATGGGGAAACCCACAGAAACAGCTGGCCCAAGCTAGTGGGAGCTCACTAACTCTGGACTGACATCTGGGAAACCAGCATAGGACTGAATTAGGCCCCCTGAATGCAGGTGACAGTGGGTGACTTGGGCAGTTAGTGGGGCCACTGGCAGTGAGACCAGGATCTATCCCAAGTGCATGAGCTGGCTTTTTGGAGTCCTTTTCCTATGGAGAGATACCTTGCTCAGCCTAGACACAGGGGAGAGGCCCTTGATCCTGCCTCAACATCGTGATGGAACAGACTTTGTTGACTCCCCATTGGAGCCCTTACTCTCTCTGAGGAACAAAAGTGGTGTGAGGTGAAGGAAAGGTGGGGGGAGCAGGAGGAGGGGAGAGGGGGGAACTGGGATTAGTATATAAAATAAAAATAAAAATGTATACAAAGTAATTAAGAATGTTTTGCTCATAACATGCTAGATATTAGTCCAATTTAACATATGTAGTATTTCAGGTAGGTGCAGCCACCTTAAGATGCTGTGATTGGAATTCCCTTCTCCTGTTTTGTAATTGGTAGTAATGTTTAGATTTTTATTAGTACTCAAAATCCTGAGTCAGAACACAATCATATATACAATTGGTTCATTGCAATCTAGTCATGCCATTTGCATTTAATAAATTTTACTTCTTACAAATACAATAAGAACAGCAATATCAGTAGCAAGAGCCAATCACATAGTAATCAGGGCTTTGGTTTTCAAGAAATTTTTAAACCAAAGAGAGGAATTGCAAGAGTCAAATAAGGAAATACGATTTATTTTAGTCAATATTGCTAATCTGGGCAAAGAAACATGAAGTTTTCAAGGAGAGATGGATCCTGAATGATAGCAGTATGTACACTGTGTGTAGATACTCATGTTAAGTCTGGAGACTAAACGGATTGAGAGAATAGGGGAATAAAGTTATGTTTCTATAAAAGAACTTTTGTAAAATAAGACAATACCTTTGCAATATTAATATCTTTTCTTTTCGTACTTATGATCAGTGTCTAGTTTGGGTTTCTATTGCTGTGGTAAAACACCATGATCAAAGCAATTTGGAGGGTATGGTGCTTTGAAAACAAAGGGGGGGCTTCCAAAGAGAGTGGCACTATTAGGAGGCATGGCTTTGTTGGAGTAGGTGTGGTCTTGTTGGAGGAAATGTGTCACTGTGGAGGCAGCTTTGAGGTCCCATATCTCCTCAAGCCATGCCTAGAGAGACAGACCACTTTCTGTTGCCTGTGAGTCAAGCTGTAAGACCTCTCAGCTCCTTCTCCAGCACCATGTCTGCCTACATGCTGCTTTACTTCCCAGCATGATGATAATAAACTTAAACCTAAGTGAGCCACCCCAATAAATGTTTTCGTTTATAAGACTTACCATAGTCATGGTATCTCTTCATGGCAATAGAAACCCTGACTATGCCAGGGAGGAAAGGCTTTATTTGGCTCACACTTCTAGAGCACTATTCATCACTGAAGGCAGTCAGAAAAGGAACTCAAACAGGGCAGGAACCTGGAAGAAGGAGCTGATGTAGAAGCCAAGGAGAGGTGCTCCTTACTGGCTAGTTCCTCATGACTTGTTCATCCTGCTTTCTTATAGTACCCAGGAGCACAAGCCCAGGAATGTCACCACCCACAATGGGGTGGATCCTCTTCCATCAATCACTAATTGGGAAAACAGCCTGATCTTATAGAGGCATTTTCTTAATTGAGGTTCCCTCCTCTCAGATGGCTTTAGCTGGTGTCAACTTGACATAAAACTATCCAGCACAATCAATCTACAATTATTTGCATGTGTAAGTCTATATAAAATAAAAGCATTCTCAATTATATTTACACTATTTAAGAATCTATAAGTACAGATAAAAAGAATCCCTTCAGAAGAGACTAAGTATTGACAGAAAATATCAATACATATATACACACAAAATTAAGAGAAAGTGAAATTTTCTTCTGTGCATGAACAGTCCTACTCTTCAAAGGATTATTTGAAGGAATAACAGAAGTACATGCTGCACCATTACCAACCAACCACACAGGAGTCAAAAAGACTCAGTGCCAACACTAATGTAGATTATATTCTGCATCACTGAATATAAGCTACAAAGAAATAAAACGGTGGTCAGAAACTCTCAAGTGTTCAAATTAAACACTTAAGTAATAAAATGGGGGAAATTCAGTTGTAATTAAAATGCTTGAAAATAATACATTAGATTTTTACATATAGCTTGCTAATAAAAATCCACAATCAATGTTTATGTGGATGTAATCAAACTGAGTTGCCACTTAGCATAACAAGCTATATCTGACTATGCTAATATTCGTCTGTCTATGCCTCTTTCAAAGGTGAAATATTCCTACCAATGTAATTTATTAAATAACTGTGTTCTTCTAATGGTTTGATATTTTAAGGCAGGTTGATTAAAAACAAAGGGCTATGTTATTTTTTTTCCCTTACTGGAACAAAGAGGTAGAATTGTGTACAACTTTTCAATGCAGCAGGAGGAACAGGTACACTCACTTTCCCAGTTCAGGTCCTTACAACACACATCAAATATATATATACATATATATATATATATATACACACACATATATGTATATATATATATTCAATCTAATATGCATCATATATAATGGTTATTGGATTTTATCTGAAGAATTTTTAAATTTGAAAGTAATACATTATGAAGAATATTCCTTTTGTCTTTCACTTTTCTCAATGTATTTAAAATTGTATTCTTAATGTGTACACTAAGACAAAATGTGATTTAATTTTGTTAGTTAACACTTTTAAGTAATCTGTTGACTATCTAAGGGGCTCCTATGGGAAGGGAAAGCAACTAGAATTCTTCCTTTGTGTTGGTTGGGTCACGGGTCCTCTCCCGGGTGAGCCTGTGGTGCCAGGGAACAGAGCTGGGCTCTCCCCGCTCTGTTCTTGTTTTGGGAGCCAGTAAAGGTGTCTGCTCCCATATTGGCCTTCGCCCAGGTCTAAAGACGCTCTTACCTATTATCCTTGTCTCTGTGATTGACGTCGTACTTCCCCAGAGTGAAGTACAGCCGCACAAAAGGTAAATCTCCCGCACAGGCTGCCATGTGCAGATCATTGTCAGGAAAGTATGCCATATCTAAATACGAAGGATTCTGAGTACCAAAGGACAGGTTGTTTCCCTGTGCCTCGATATCGCAGAAACCCAAGGGTGTCTCTACAAGACTCTTTTTCTGTTTGCCACAGAGCACAGAGAAGCCTCCGGAACACCCTGGCCACCTCCATCTCTCTAGGCTGTACTTTCCTCCCATCTCAGGCACCGTTATAGCAAGCCAACCGTTACCCGCCCCAGTATCAACTAACGTTATAACAAGCTGACCCTCTCCATCTCGTATCAAATTATAAGCCCACCCCGCCCGATCCAAATATTATCATTTGTCCTAGACTAGCCAAGTCTTCCGAGCTTCCTCTCAAGTCAGTCCCTGGTTTACTGTCTACCAACTGAAGAGACAGTTGACAAGACGGCTGCTGTCAAGCCATGCTGGTGGACTCAAGTATGCAAGAGTGTGCAGAATGCTAACTATGCACGTGTGCGTGCGTCTTAAGTCAATGAAGATCACTGCGCATGTGCAGAGTTAGCCTGTCAAACTGCAGAGCAGACCTGCATTGCTTCAAAAAGAAAACGAAGCTGGAGGAATGGCTCAGTTTTAGGAGTGTGCACTGCTTTTGCAGATGGGCCTAGCTTGGTTTTCAGCGCCCACCACAGGTGACTCACAAACCTCCTGGAGCTCCGGAGAATCCAACGCCTTCTCCTGGACTGTAGGCACCTACAGTCACCCGTGCCCATTCCTTCACACACATAATTAAAAATAACAAATCTTTTAAAATGTCTTTATCAGAGTGCTGGATGACTGTTGGTCATTTGCCAAGGCTGACTTGCAGTCATGGAAAAGCAGTCCTTGTATATAGCTGTTGAAAAGGGAGGGAGACTAAGAATGCCAAAGGTCCGCTCTTCAAGAAAATCTCTCCGAAGACAAAACTTTTTTTTTAGACACGGTTTCTGTGTGCAACAGTCCTGGCTGTCCTGGAACTCATTCTCTGTAGACCAGGCTGGCCTCGAACTCACAGAGATCCACCTGCCTCTGCCTCCCAAGTGCTGGGATTAAAGGTGTGCGACACCACCACCCAGCAAACAGCCTCCCAATTTCTATTCTTTTCCAAATCCAGTATGGTCCCTGCAGGTCTGTATGAAAATTCAACAATGGAACTAACAGTCTGTTCTCATGGTTTCAGAGATGTGTGAGTACAAACTTTGAAGAAAAACTAATGCACATCCCATGCAAAATATCCACTAATGCAAGCTTCCTAGTCTTTTGCCCTGACTTCATCTTTGTTATCCCTAGTTTTATTCTAGTTTCTCATAAAATCTGCAATAATTCCAAGATTCGTTTTGGAAAGCAATATATTTTTTTGTCATTTTAGTTAACCATTTTCTTGTCCCAGCCCATCTTTTCTCACTGTAATAATGCTGTATTCAGTGGCTTTCTGGATCCCAAACACTACCTAGCTCAGGCTCCTGACATCCTTCCTTTCCTCCCTCCTAAAACAGCTGTCTGTTCCTTCTCTTCCTCTTCTTCCCCCAACTTCCTGTCCACCTTGAACAACCACATCCCCTCCAGCAGCACTATCAGCTTCTCAACCCTCAAACAAAATGAGAATCCTTTTACAAAGCACATGGCTAAGGGATTTGTCATGTTAGCCAGCTTTGACAGTAGCTCAGTCTTGTGACATGTTGCAAAGTATGCTTTGATACCCCCATTTTCAAATTCTGCAAACACACAGATGCCCAAGAACTAGAACCCTCAAATCCCTGTCTCCTTTTCCAACACTATCTCAGTTAATTGCTGGAGAGCCACGTGAGTTCAGAGCTTCTGAAGTTTACCCCACCCTTACAACCACAGTGCTGCAGGTATCCAATTAACACGTGCTCTGGTCCTGCTTTCAGCTCAGTTCATCGGTACATCGGTACCCTTCCTCCGGGCTACTTCTGATGACAGGAATTCCACTCAGTTCCATGCAATGTTATAATCCATGTGTGTGAGGGATGCTGAACATTGTCCTAGGGGTATCAGTGTTCACATGCTCTTGTTCATTTTGATCTCTTAAACTCTCTATTACATACTGTTTTTCTCCAAGAAACAATAATGAAAATACATTAGCATTTTACACTGGATAATCATAACACCAATGTGTAATTTGGGAACACAGGATTTGACGTACATTCCTGGACAGGTTGAAAATATTTTCAAGTGAGTAAACTCAAAAATAAAACCAAGAAAATGAGAAATTTACACCAAATGTTTAAAATATGGCAGTGAGTGTTCATTATTTTAAAACATCAATGCTCACATTACTTACCATTTACTATGTTAAGTAGTATAGACTTTATATAAATAACAAAACAGTATTTCTGATACCTCCCTTACCATAAAAGCCTAATGCTCAGAAAACTTCCTTCTAAAAAACAAATATATCCATGCTTAGAGTTCTACCCTCACAGTAGCACATTATTCATTCATTTATTTATATTTATATAAATATTTTTTTGAGACAGGGTTTCTCTGTGGCTTTGGAGTCTGTCCTGAAACTCACTCTGTAGACCAGGCTGGTCTCAAACTCACAGAGATCCAGCTGCCTCTGCCTCCGAAGTGCTGGGATTAAGGCATGAGGCACCACCATCCGGCAGCACATTATTTTTATGAAATGGATTCCATTGTAATATTTTTGTGTGTATAAAATACAGTTGATCATATCCATTCCCATTACCATCTCATATGCCCACTGTCTCATTCTTTCCCAATTCTCCACCTTCAATATGCATTGGATTTCATTTCTAGACTCTACTTGTAAGACAATGTCTTTTACTGAACCTGGTTTAGTTTACTTAACATGAGGATATACTGCTCCATCCATCTTCCTTAAATTTCACGAGTACAGAAAACCCATTCTTTCACACTAATGAAAACCCACACCTTTGCACATGGACAAAACTTTAAATAATCACACAGCTACACAAAATCACATTCTCACACACAACTAAACACAGTTGCACTTTCACTCACAATTGCTCATGCACACATCTGCATCCTCAAACATGCTCACACTGACAACACATTCTCACTTTGCATACTCACAATTCCACTCTTGCACTTATCTATCCAAATCATGCTTTCCACTCTTGCACTTATCTACCCAAATCATGCACATATACACCCTCACATGTCATACATTAGTGCACTTTTGTGCACAAACAACACGCACACATTTGCACTCAAATGGCTCTTAAAATTGCACAATCACAGCTTTACAAACAAAATATACAATACATGCAGTACATTAAGTATTCTTCATATATGCCTGTATTCACACTATACACACTCAAATGGACACACTCATGTTTACATGTCATTTCAAACTCACACACAAAAATCTACACACAATAACTCATACAAACACATATGCTCACATAAAAATCACACACTAGGATACATTCATATACACACTTGCAGAGTTACATACTAACACTATACACCATTCTTCCCTTTCCCAACTACTAACACAAAGGTAAGGTGAAGTCCTCAGACCCTATGTACTTGTCCTTAACCTCTGCCTTGCTTAGTTCCTGGCACTGACAGGTAAGGGATCCTAGACACTAAGCAGTCAACCCAAAAGTTTACCTTCCTCTCAGCTCCTGCTGCCTACAGGTAAATGGTCTCCAGACACTCAACTCTTGATCCAAAAATCTGCCTTTCCTCAGCTCTTGGGGCCAACATGTAAGGGGTTCCAAGACCTGACAAGAACACTACCAAGACAGGACAGTGTGGGAGAGAAACTTTTCGCAGGGCCCCATCCTGAGACAAAGAACTACAGGCAACAAGGGGATGTTGACAGCCAGAGTAGTTTGTTCCAAAAGAGGGACCCTTTAATTGGTTATCCAATACCAGGTGGTCAGCCCTGAAATGGCGTACATAAGAGCAACAGTAAGGAGGGTTCAGCAAGATTTTGTGTGTGTATGTGTGTGTGTGTGTGTGTGTGTGTGTTTGTGTGTGTGTGTGTGTGTGTGTGTGTGTGTGTGTGTGTGTGTACAAAGAAAATAGAGGCCAGTGATTTGAGAGCAAGGGGCAGTGGACCACAGAAGTTGGAGAACAAGGTGTTCAGACATCTGTACTGGCTTGTCCTTGGGGTTTTGACAGGATCCGCCCTCAGCTGCAGCATATTAATTATATTCCCTTTTAAAAGGGCCCTGCCCACCTCCCATCCTCCTTTCTCTCCCTCTGTCCCTGGAGGCCAGTCTCCCCACCTTCCCTTTCCCCTTTTTATGATCCCTTTCCCTAATAACTACCTCCTCTGCTTGAACCTTGTCACAAACGGCCACCTTTCTTAAATTACAACACATGGAATGGGGGGAGGGGATGTAATTATATTTTAATAAAATAAAGCCTACCTCCTAAAATAACTAGTCAGGTCTGTTTCTTAAGAACTCACCAAATTGTACTGAAGCATCATATGCTTCCTCATCCCCCCACCCCCATTTTTGGTTTTTCGAGACAGGGTTTCTCCTTATTGCTTTGGAGCCTGTCCTAGAACTCACTTTGTAGACCAGGCTGGCCTCAAACGCACAGAGATCAACCTGCCTCTGCCTCCAAGTGCTAGGACTAAAGGCATATGCCACCAACACCCGGTACTCCCTTATTCTTACTGTTGTTTGTTTTTGTTTTGTTTGTCTTTGGTTCTTTTTCTTTTATGATTGGCACCTTCCAGACTCCAGGTCCTAAAACTTCAAATAATGCTGGCAAAGGGATTCCAGGCACAACCAACTCCTTCTACCAAAGGCTGTTAGATTACCCAAAGTAATGTCATGCATTTCACCTACTCTTAGCATGAACCCCCAGAGGGACCCACCCACCTCATTCACTATCCCTGTTCAGGTCCTAAGCAGCCAAGACTGAATGATCATCATCCCATGTCCTCCTAAACACCTAGGTCCCAAATCCTTGAAGGGGAAATGTTATGATAAAACAAATGTGCAAATTAAATGCTATAATGTTCTGAGTTAAAGGCACAGAACTTTAGGCTAAAGGTACATAAAGGTCTTACAACTGGCTGTGCAACAGCCAAATTAACTGGATAAAAGACAAGGCTCTTAAAAATAAGTTAGCTTTTACAGCAACATTTCATTAATTTGGATTGAAATACATAAAGTCAATAACCTATGTGCTACAAATTAACTTGAGGGAAAAATATCCTACACCAACACATAAGCAATTTAAGAGCAAAATGTAATGCACACATTATTGGTAAACTGCCGTGTGTTGTCAGAGTTCAGTGAGTTGACTCCAGAAGTGAGACAGCTTCCCACTGTCCCCATATCAGACCCAAATATGTTTATCTCAGAGTATCCTCCAAGGCCCATTGTTGACAAATGGGGATAGCTCCCCACCACTGTGACAGGAAGGGTAAATCAGCCCAGGAGTAAAAACCACATCCTTGAAATCAGCTTGAAGATAAACAATCCCAAACAGTCATTACTACTGTTTATTCCATAATTTTGAAGTGCCAGCAGCGAGAAAGAAAATTCAGAAGTTCAGTCACAGGAAGTTGACCCACAAGTAATTGATACAGAGCAGAGAGGACACTCCCAACTGGAAACTCCAGCAACTGCCTCAACTTTGCCAGTCCACTTCTGCAGGGTATTCTTGCATGTGATTTGGTATGTCTCAGCTATTTGTTCTTTTACTTGGAAGCCTCACATGAGGGACCACTTTGCTCTGCCAGAGACTCCATGGGGAACTCCAGTTTACTGCCCTAAAGGGCCTTCCAGTCACTTTCTGTTGGATGTTTTATGCACCTGACTTGATGATGCTTTGATTCTTTCATCTGCCACTTGCTATTTAGTCTTTTAATTTTGTTTGCTGTATACTTAGAAGAATACTTTCTACTGCTGTGTTAATAGCAAACTTGGCAAGGAAAGTTTCTTTAGCTTACAAGTCCCCATCACAGTCCATCACTAAGGGAAGCCAAGACGGAAACTAAGATGACAACTTCAACAAGAAAAAAACATAATCCTCTACCCTTTACATCCCATCTGTAGTTTGTTGTCACAATCTCTTGAAAATTCCTGTAGTTATTTTCCGACTAGCATCTATACTAAAAGTACTGATTTAAATACAATCATCAGAGCACTCTAAATTTAAGTGCACTTACTTTTACGACTTTCATATTTTCAGGTATACTCTACTAGCAAGTTTCTTTCCGTTTGAGCAACTCTCTTTTGCATTTCTGTCAACAAATCAGGAGATGATGTCTTCTCATAGCTTTTGTCTCAGACTGCTTCATTTCAGCTTTGTTGAATACAATATTCTTGGCAGGCAGGGTTTTACTCAGCACTCTGAATATATGTTATTTTGAACCAACAGCCATTAGTCAGCCACGATCTCACTGTCACCACAGAAGAGTAGATGTGGGGATCTGTCCATTACTGCATTTTATGGTGGTAAGCAAGCCCATTAATGAGTTCTAAAACCATGTTCTGTGCTTGCTTCTCTCTTCCCCACTAGGAGACTGTATCTTCATGCTCTGCTGGTTGCATGTGGACAAGTACAACCTACGGAATATACAAACTGTCTTTTCTATCCTACTCTATGCACATATTCTTACTGCTAGCCTACAACCAGGTCTTTGTTCTTATCTGGCTTGCTTAATCCAAGTGAAGGTATTTTCATATATAACGAATTATTTAAGTGGGTGTTCATACTGGGGAATGGATACTGGAGAGTCCAATTCCCATAATTCAATTCAGACATTTATACGACTTTAAATATGAGCTCAGAATAGCTTAAAGCCCTTTCAAATCTACTCTCTTTAAAATACTTCAGTTGGAATATGCTTTCCAGGAGAAATTCATTTTCAGTTAAAAAAAAAAGTCAACTAAAAATCTAAACCAAACCATCACAAATAGCCATTTCATGACACCAGGAATTAACAGAAGACCCACAACAAGGATGACTTGTTTCTTCATGAAAACCAGAATTCAACCAAGTACATGATTCTCAGATTGTCATGCCTACTCAAGGCAGCTCCCAACCCAGAGGCCCAATGGTTAAACCAGGGTGAAAGAAAACCCTGTAAAATAAAACTTGTGTGCCAGGAATAGTAGAACACACCTATAACTTGAACATCCAGGAGGTGGAGACAGAAGCATGGCTAATTGGAAGCTATCCTAGGCTACATACAGAGAACTTTCTGGAAAAGACCCAAAACAAAACAACAAAACCCCAAGAAAAATAAAAAGCTTGTTCTCATTTTCACAAGAGAATTCAATTGGTCTGATATACTACTGACTAAATCTAGGATCTCAATAAGCAGCTTACTAGCCTTTAAGTGGTTGGCTGTTCTTCGACATGCAAACAAGATGAGAATAGACAGGCAGAAGATTTCTGTGACTTAATAAACCCAGGAAATTGATAACCACTTCACAGAATATTCTAGGTTTACCAGACATGCAGAAGAGAAAATTCTCCAGCTATATATATCCATATTTGATTGTCAAAATCTTTGCATACACACGTAGAAGCAATAAAATGAACTAGAACACAAAAGCCACAGTAAACTTGCTATATAATTTACTGAGACTAGAATTATGAGGAATTCAATTTGGATGTCATCAGTGAGATACTCTTTATAGTGACTGGTGATAAAACTGTAAACCTCACATAATATAAGCTACAAAGGGAATTTGTAGAGTCACTGAATTTTGAAGGCTTGGGGAAAAAAAATGTCCTAAAACCTAACAGTGGGGATGATTACACAGAAAAAAATAAAAAAGTCTTTGGTCTATATATTTAAAATGAACAAGTTTTATAACATGAAAGTTACAACTCAATGTGACTGTAAAAATGTTTTAAATCAGGTTAAATAAAACATGTTACCAATGTTTTCCATATGTGCAAGCATGAACATGCAGAGAATGGGGGAAGGGAGAGAATGAGCACATGAACATGAGTGACAATGGAGACAGTAAAAATTAAAACAACCCATGAGTCTAGATCAAGAATATAAAGAGCTCTACCAACATTTTCAGTTTGAGATTGTTATCAAAATTTAAGATTATTTAAAAAGGACAAGAATATCATGTAACAAGGTCCCTTTAATTATACCTATCTTCTTCAATGAAGACCATATACATCTTCAATGAGAAAACTGAACGTAATTTTAATAGTTCCTTCAAGAATGTAATTTGGTTATAACACCAATACAATGCACTCTATGTTCTAATGATTTAAATATGAAATTACCAATAAATCTTATAATATGTGCAGATGCACAAGCCTTCCAATTCTGACAAGGCATAAGTTGAAAGACCACTTTGAAAGGAATTAAGTTTTTGGTTTCATTTTGATTTTGAGATTAAATATAATTATACAATTATTCAGAATATACTTTGTTACTTATTTCCATCATAAAATACTGTTTTTCTGAAACCAATTTTGTCAGTGAGATGGTAGAATCTGAAAGAAAATGGGCATGCATGCTGTGTTTTTAAAATATTACAATCATTTAAACTCTGATTATATCTTTATGTTTACAATTCAAATAGCTTCATTTAAAGGCCATTTTACATGGTCAATCAAGAACATAATTAAATACATCTTAATGATTTCCACTGATATATGAAGAAATTGATTTACCCATGTCATATGTTGTTTTTTTTTTTTTTAACAAAGAGGAATATTACTATCAGGAAATGATAGTTTTTCAGTTACTTAAGCTTTCGAATTAAAAATAAAAAAAAAACTTACCAGTAGATAAAGGCACAATTTTTACTCACTTCAAGTAATCAACCACAAAATGATTGCTTACTTTCAACATGATTGACATTTTTCAAACAATCTGTCATTAATCCTGACAGCTTTTTATTTATTATGTTTTCATGTACTTGCTATGGGTTACTAATCTCCAATGGGTGCCATCATGGAAATACCCAAAATCAGATAATGTGACAGAAGATTGACAAAGTGTTTCACATCCTTGAATTATATATATACCAGGTCAAGAATGGGGGTTGAAGAGTGTTGCAAAAAGAGACTGCAGGGCTACTTATATTTAATAAAACCAGCAATATGAAGAGAGTTATCATCTCACTTCCAATTTCTTCCCCTCAAGAACAATTTGAATCTCTTTGGCATCCAAAGTCTCATAGGTCAACAACGCTTCTGCTAGATTCTTATGCTCTTTTGCATGAGTTTTCAAGATATGTTTTGCTCGTTCATATGACTCCTGAAAGAGAAAAGCAAGTCAGAAGAAAATGTAGAGATGCAATAATCATAGATAAGGAAGGAGAAAATAAAACCAATGTGGTTCTAAAATGTGTTGATTTGTATTTTAAAAAAAAGCATTTAAAAGCTTTGTTCTAAAATATAAATTGTTTGTATGTAAGAATATAAACAGCACATAGAATGTATCACAATAGAAGAGTTTGGAAAACATTTCAAGAGAGTTTCTGTCTTTCCAGAATGTTTATTTTCTCTGTTGTAACTAAGACATTTCTTTCTTTACCCTCCAGCAGTTAATTCAAGCATGGCTGTTTGCATGTAAGACTGCTTTCCTGAAATTCTTACTCTTGTTCCAGATACTTCTTTGCTCCCATCACCATTTCCAAATATTGGTAACCTATCTTTTGCAGGTCAAACCTCTGCAAACCTCTGAAGGTCAAACCATTTGAATATTAGCTACCAACCCCACCTTGACAAGCCATCTAAGTAATACTGATCACATTCCTCATTCATTAGACACTGCTCCTCAGCCATATCTTTTCCTTCATTCCAAGAACTACCTTGAAAGATGAGTAACTTCAGTGTCTGAGAATATGTAAGCAACCTTTCTAGTAAGCTTCAGACCAACATACCTATTTCTAACTTAGGATCTTCGTTATGATGTCCAAATTCAATAACTTCCTATTAAAATAAAACAGTCTATCCACATCAACAGCTTGCATCCCAGTTTGGTTTTCATGTCCTTCGGTTAACTGTGGTGATATACAGGATCCAAGTACAAAGCCAGCCATACTAGTTAGCTATAGAAGCCAGGCAGTGGTGACACCCACCTTTAATCCCAGGACTCAGGAGACAGAGGCAGATGGATCTCTGTGAGTCCAAGGCCACCCTGGGCTACACTAGACTGAATCACTGTAAAAGAGAAACAGCTCACACAAAGGAGATCTCAGCACTTGGGATCCCATGCCTTTAATTCCAGCTCTAGAGAGGTATATACCATAGGAACAGATATTCAGTCTGTGGCATTTTACTCTCCGGCTGCATTCTAAGAGTTAGTTTCTAGCTATGTTGAGAGCATAACAGTCTGAGTAAATCTGAGGAGCAGTGACGTTGGGAACAGTTTGAGGATCGCCCCTTTGGTTTGAGCTGAGATGGAGGTAGGAGCTAGTGGCTGGCTGTTTTGTTTCTCTGATCTTTAGCTTGAAGCTTGAACCCCAATATCTCCTCTGGGCCTTTTATTTTTCGTGTTACAGTTAATGGCATAAACAATATAGTTACCAGAGGCAGAAATCTAGAAAATGGTTTCAGCTGCTCTCTTACCTTTCCTACCTGAAATATCATATTTTAAGTCTACGTAACTTTTTTTTTTTTTTTTTTTTTTTTTTTTTGAGGCTGGTTTCCAATGTATTATGTAGCCTAGGTGTCCTTGAATTTATAATACTCCTGCCTCCATCTTCCAAGTGCTGAGATTACAGGCATGTGCTACCATTCTGTGGTGCTGAGAATAGAACCCAGTGTTTTGTTTATGCTAGGCAATCACTACCAACTGAACCATACCCCCAAATCTGCATCACTATCTCTTGAGCACACTCAGTGTTTCTTCACCACTTATATTTTACAGGGTGAGATTTAGAACACTAGTTATCAGCACTATTTGTTTGCAGTGCTGGGGACTCAAGACATTTCAAGCTCTCTCTACTAATGAACTATACCCTCCATGATTACCATTTTTTAAAGTACTTAGGCACATTTTGTATTTAAAAAAATAATTAAGCTTAAAAAAATATTACCCGTAGAAGGATTCTTATTTCTTGTTCAATGGCAGATTGAGTTTCAGGACTTAGTGTTCCTGAATCACTGTAGGTCATAACTCCAAGCTAAAATCAAAAAGAATGAATTGAACAAATTACTATCAAGACATTTAGCACAGTAAGTACTAGCCTATACATATATTGGGGGTGGAGGGAATGGGGGGTTGATGCAACATAAAAATGTTGTGTGCAATGAAATACTCTCTGGAATCCGTAAGGACAAATCAAAATAGCAAATGTGAATATAATACAAAAAATTAAAATCCTTTAAGTGCCTTCTCAGAAAACCCTAGCAATGCTCCCAAATCTGGAAATACACATGGATAACAATGATATTGAAAATGTAAGATTAGAAGTTCAGAAACATGAAAGAGCTAAATAATTTAAGCACTTTATTAGTTCATGAAGTCTAAGTAGAAAGAAAAATCTGCATTACTACTCAGAGCAATGATAAGAATAAATCTCAAATGAATTAGGAATCAAACAACAAAGAAGAATGTTACCAACACATACATCTATCAAAAGATGACATTGAAAATCAACTACCTTTTCACTCATTCCAAATCTGGTAACCATCCTCTTTGCAATTTGTGTTGCATTATCAAAATCACTAGAAGCACCTAGATTAAAAAAAGACATAACTTTGGAAAATCTTTAAATGAATAAACATAAATCTGAAGTAAATATACTATCAAAAACCAACCTGTTGTAATATGATCGGTTCCAAATATGAGCTCCTCTGCCACTCTTCCTCCCATACTAACATCCATTTGTGCAAGCAGCTGGGCTCTGGTTTCATTCCATCTGTCATTCTCAGGCAATAGTGAGACCTATACAATTTAATAATAACCACATAATAATAAAGAAAAGACACCCAGACACACTTCTGAAATAATTACATTCATAATCAAAGTTATTCAGTTTTTCCAGACAGTATTCAATATGATGATGCTGAAAGCCAAGTGACTGGATAGACATGGTCATCAGGTAACTTAATGACCTGAAACCTCTATGGCATGAAACCAACATGAAAAACAAGGGAAATCCCCTATAAAAGTGCATCTTACAAACAACAGCTACATAATGCTACAACAGGACTTTTTTCTAGCTGCACAAAAATATTCAAGCAGTCATATATTAGAAAGATTGACGAATGAAGCATGAACTAAGCAGTATCTTAGAACAACTACGGAACCAGGCACTGACGTAAAGTGTTGTCTTTATGTCTAGTAGTTTATTTAGATATTTAAAAATTACAGTTTATAATCACTCTCCAATTATGTTTTCATAGAAATATGTAACACCTGAAATATATTATGAAACTACTGATACAAAATTATAGCAAATGGATCTTATTTCAATTCTGTTCAGGAAATAAAAAAGGATAAAAATCATTAGGAAGTTGCAATCTCCTACATAAGCTTATAGAAAGCTATATTTGAAAGTGAATCTTAAAACAAGAAAGTGAAGTATTTAAGGCAAGATGGCTCAAATATGTGGTCCTAGAACTTGTAAAGGTGAGTCAGGAGAATTACCACAAGTTTCAAGCCAGTCCAAGGTACATGGAGAGTTTCAGGCCAACCTGGGCTACAGCGTGAGAAGTGAGACCCTGTCTCAAAGCAAGCAAACAAAACAAAATGAAAAAAACAAAACAAAACAAAACAAAAAACAACTAAACTAAAATAAATTGGTACATAGTTCAGTGGTGAGAGCTTGATTCATATGCATGAGTCTCTGAGTTCAAACCACAGTAACAGGGAGGGGAGGAAGGTCTATAGGAAACTTACATGTCCAAGTGTTGGCCCCCGTGGCATGATTGTAGCTTTATTAATTGGCATTGCATCCTTTGTGTAATATGCAATAATAGCATGACCAGATTCATGATAGGCTGTTATGGTTTTGTTTTTGTTATCAATTTCTACACTTCTTCTTTCTGGTCCTAAGATAAATAACATACTATATTAGGGTGGTATACTTAATTGCTGAGCATGGTAGCCTATAATCCCAGCACTCCGAGGCAAGAGAATAATAGGTTTCAGGCTAGTCCATGATTCATTGTGACAACAGGAGGGCAGAAACACACACAGAATGCATGAGCACTCATTATTGAGCATGGAGGTATGGTGGCTCACATCAGTAATCTCAGCACTCAGAAGGCTAAGGCAAGATGACTACCATGATTTCACAGCCAGACTGAGGTACATAGTAGAAGTGAGGGCCAGCTAACCAGCTTGGATTATAGAATGAAAGTCAGTCTCCAAAAAAAAAAAGTAGGGGCATGGTGTAAACAAAGAAAAAGATTAACTGCAAGATAAGGGAATGAGAAGGAAGACATACCCATTAGAATTTTATCTTTAGAAAACTCTAGTTCCTTCATGGTAACCATTTCTTTTCCATCAACAGCCGCCTTTAATGCAGCTTGGTTCACAAGATTCTCCAGCTCTGCTCCAGAAAACCCAACAGTGCCTCGAGCTATGATTTCTGGATCAACAGCTATAGACAAAGAGAACAACATAATAAATCTCCATCACTAAACAGAAGCTCATGTTTCAAAGGTTAAAAAAAAAACCCACAATTACTCTGAATTACATTTTAAAACTAAAATTGAAATAAAACTTATGCACCAAAATCCGCCATTATGTTAATATTAATTAGTACTTAATGGTTATTAATATTATTGTAATAATAAGTTCTTATGTTAATAAAAAAAACTTCCAAAAAATTTCTAAGTTTTATAAACTTTCTGAAAACAAAACAAAAAGTGGACTTGCTAGAGATGAAATTAGAAACTTCAATTATGACCTACACTGGGCCTGGAGAGATGGCACAGCAGGTAAGAGCACCAACTGCTCTTGCATGGGACCCAGGTTCGGTTCTCAGCACCCACAGAACAGCTGCTCTTCTGGCCTCTACTGATACTGCACATACACATACAAACATTAAAAAATAATATTATTAAATTAAATATGCCCTATGCTAATGTCCAGCTTGACCACAAATTGAAAAAGCAAGCTCACAGTCAAAATTCTGCTCTCTCAAATATCACCTTGAAACACTTTGGTCTCCCTTTATGATAGGAAACAAACTTAGTTTTACAGGTTGATTCAAGATACATTTTTGAAAATAATTCAGCTTATCCTACTGTCACTTGTTTTCAAGTGGCTCCATGTTTCCATGTGCCTTGTTTCCTATTAATCTTTCTAAATGGATACTTTTTTATATTTTATTTCATAAACTCCAAACCAATTTTCCTTTGAAATTAGGATTCAAAAATAAAATACTCGGGAGGCAGAGGCAAACAGATCTCTGTGAGTTCGACACCAGCCTGGTCTACAAGAGCTAGTTCCAGGACAGCCTCCATAGCCACAGACAAACCCATGTCTCAAGAAAACCAAAAAGAATAAAATACTATCAGGGATGTACACAAACTGAAGAATGCACATATAAATGGGTATAAAGAGGACAAAAAAATGAACTGTTCTGAGGCATAAACCAAATAAGGATCATAAACAGAATGGTTAGATATGTTACCATTTTCCACAAATAACAATGTTAAAATCAAGGAATTGGACTCACATTTGTCAAACTTTATTTTATTAAGATACCATTTCAAAATTTCAGTCCGACCCCTCACATCTGGCCTTGGAACTGTAACTTGCATGTCAAAACGACCAGGACGTATTAAGGCACTAAGGGAAAATTAAAAAGATACACATAAATTAATAAGCTGAACATGCTAGCATACACTAAACGTGATGGAGAAACGACGACAACCAAAGGTAAGAAAGAATTCAGAATATAAATGTTCAGACAGTTCCCTCAGAAGCATGGACAACAGTCTCAGTCTCAGAAGGCTCAAGGGCACTTAACACCCATAACCACAGAACTCAAGCTAAGGAGTCCCAGGCCAACCTGAATTATGTAGTGCAAGCTGCTATGAAATAATAATGAACTTCAGATCACTTGTTTTGTATCTTCCTCTCTATTGCAGTCGTACCCCCTCCCCCATGCTGTGTGCAGTTACTTCACACCTGAAGATTTGGAGATGGATGCATGGTTTCTATGTTTAGTCTACTATAGAACTTTTTTTTTTTTTAACTAAAGATATGTAAGTCTTTTTGAAAGAGGATCTTTACATTGCCCCAACAGTTCTTGAACTCACTATGTAGCCCAGGCTGGTCTCAAACTCACAGCGATCTGTCTGTCTCTTCCTCCTAAATGCTGAAATTAAAGGTGTGCAGCAAAATGCCTGGCATATTTTAACTGCCTACATAAAATCATCTTTAATACATGCAAGTCAGTATACAAATTATTTCATTATGTATTTTAATATATATTTTGCTTCATATATATCAAATATGCAAATTTATATATAAAATCACATATTTTTACATATTAAAAATATATAAACTCTATACCTACTTTTAAAAAACCAAAATGCCCCTTCTGGGTTGATAATGCTTCCCCAAAGAAACTCCCAAAACAGAGGCTATTGCTTCTCTCTCTGACTGCCCCAGAGGTGAAAAGTAAATTCTTTACTGATGAAGACACATGCACTTCAGAAACAGGACCCAGAGACCTCTGAGCTGGGACAGACCTAAATGCTTCCTCCATGAGGACTAGCTTTCCTGGTATCAGAAGCCACCGTGCAAGCTTCAAAAAGAGGAAAGCAATTAATAATCCTGCCCAACTATGACACCTATAAACCACAAGAATGATCAGCATGGCACAATAACCCTAAGAAGAGTTCAGCAGTGGCAAGCATACTTTGGTAGCAACTAACAGCTAATTGAACTTAAAACCCACTCAATGAGAGGGAAATCATGCCTGGTACTGGAAAACTAGCCAGGGTCAGTGAAGGATCTTAAAGGAGAATCTACAACCACTATTGTATTAAACCAGCACCCTAACTACATTCTAAATATGTGTCCTTATACCCACAGACTAAGTGTAATCATCACCTCCCAACAAGGAAACTTCTCTTTGCAATTGAGATAGACCATTACAGCAAACTACACATAATCAAAATGCAGAGTTGTGGAGTCCAGTACCAACCGATACATGTAGAACACAACTCCTATACCTAATGCTCAAGGATCATTTAGGAAGAGGGAGTGCAAAGAATGCAAGAGCCAAAGGAACTTGTTATGATTGTGTATCTACTATAAATGTCAGAAGCTACACTCCTGGTGTCTCACCAACATGGTCACCTAAACATGACCTCAACAAGGGTGATGCCATGTTATGCTACAGTGGATGAGGAAAAGCTTATAAGGCCTCAACCCCAGACAAAGAACGACAGGTAAGTTAAAAAAAAAAAAAAAATGCTGAGAACAGGAACAAAAGTCTTTCCTAAGGAAGAGCATACCAAATGGTTATCCTATACCAAATGGCCAGACCTAAAAAATGTATAATGCAGGTATGTATTTATTCTTAGGAATACAGACACAAACATACACACATAACAAAAACTAAAGAAAAAGGTCATGAACTTGAAAAAAAGGCCTGGTTTGATGGTGTGTGCACATGTTTGTGTATGGGGAAGAGGGCTGCACGGGAGGACTTGAAGGAAGGGAAGAGGAGGGAGAACAAAAAACTACAACAATTATTAAAAAAAAACCACATTCTCCCTTCTCAATTGCTATCTACAATGATGGATTGTTGTATCAGAAAAAGACAAGCTACTAATCACACAAAAAGTAACTTCTATTAATTTTTTTTTAATTTAAAGTTATTTTTATTTTTAAGTGTGGGAGGGGGACAGGCATGTATTCTTAGTACGTGTGCCTGTGAGCCAGAAGAAAATGTTTGATACCCTAGGGGTAGAGATATGGGTGGCTATAAGCTGGAGGGCATGGTGATGAAAATCAAACTCAGATCTACTACAGAATAGTATGCTCTCCTCACCACTGAGCCATCTCTAGCTCCATTCCTAACACAGAAACTTTTAATGCTGTAAATTTCACTTTTAAAATGCTTTCTGTTTAAATGTGACATGTTTTCAATATTACTGGGAAGTAATTCTAACAGTTCTGAATTCAAAGTAAATAATCCACCTGGGATTTAATATATTAGAATGTGCAAGCATCACTTTGAATTAATTTTAGAACTATTTTCTTTTTTATGAATTCTATGTCCACTGGTAATTATGTCATGTTCCCCAAGCCTGTGGCAACTAACTGTCTCTGGATTTGCTTATTCTAAACATTCCCTACAAATGGCACTGTGCATGATGATAGGTTGCACTTAGAACAATGTTGTAGCTATAACAGTATTTCACGGAAGTCTTTTCATACTTACTTATCTAATGCCTCTGGGAAATTTGTGGCACCTATAATGATTACTCCCTCGTTGGGTTTGAAACTAGGAAAAAAAAATACCATTTCACTAAAAACGGAAGCACAGCTTACAAGTAACACTACTTACATATAAAACTGTTCATGGTTAACCTTAATTGATAATAAACCACAATCATACAATCCACAAACCACCTGTTACAGTTACTTAGGAAAACAACTTGACATAAATGGCTTGGGTGCCTAATTAAATTTTGAAAAAAATTTTTAATTTTACCAATTCAATTTTTGGTCCCAGACGTCTATTTAGTCAAAATGTCTCACACTGACATTAAGAGAGTTCATCTAAGGAAACATTTCTTTCTTTTTATATTATGAACACTGATATAAGCTTTAACTTGGCCACAACACTTAAGTCATCAACTCTATAGAAACTAGGGTATTATCGCTTACTTTGGGGGAGTATGAGTCAGTGCTGAGGATCTAATCCAGGTACTCATGTATACTACAGACAGATGATTCACCATTGAGCTTATACCTATACTCCATTATCTTTCTTCCTTTAAATAGAGCAGTCTGAGCTTGAATCACTGTTTTCCTCTTACAAATAATAATGAAATAAATGAAAATAGGTATACATTTACAATTCTGAGAAAAACTGATACATCAATTAGTAATACAAATAACACTAAGAAAAATTTGACTTCTTACATGAGAGATGACTCTGTAGCCTAAACATGTAACACTTAATATTTATACAATTTTCCAAGTCCTTTATGAGAAGAACTTGCATAAAACCAAGTCTGTAAATATTAAGTACTGGAAGAGATACCTGTTACTCTAAATTATCTTTAAAATGGATAAATGCTAATGTTTTAAGTATTTCATCAAATTTAACAAAGACTCAATTACCCATCCATTTCAGCAAGAAGTTGATTAATAGTCTGCCTTGAATAAGGATGCATTGGAGATTCAATTCTCTTCCCACCAACAGAATCTAACTCATCAATGAATATAACACAAGGAGCATTTGCTTTTGCTTCTCCTAAGAAAACAAACAAACAAAAAGATTCAAATAAGTTGAAAAAAAAACTAACACTTTTTGAACATAAAATATTAAAACCTGTAAGACTATCAGTTCAAAAAAATTACAGGGGAAAAAAAGAGGTCACACTTTACCAACAACAGTAATGTTGGAGGGGTTGTCCTAAAGAACATGATAGAAAATGAGAACTATAAAATTAATATAATCAGAATTGAGGCTAATAACTCTTAATTATAATGCTACAAAATCAATAAAATGAAAAGCCAAAAAACTCAAGAATTAGCTTTCAACAGTCACTAAATTCATCTTGCACATCTACCAGGCCTTATTTAGCCTATTTTAGAAAAGAGTACAGGGCCTGTAATACGGCTAGTACAAAATGGACTTGAGTTCAAATTTCTAGAACTCAAAAAAAAAGGTGGAAGAGAACTAATTGCACAGATATCACACAAATACACGCCATACAGACACAAAATAATAAAGTTGTTTAAATAAAGAGTACAGCTCCATTTTGGCTCAATCATTAAGTTTCCTGAAGCTAAAACAAATCTATTTCAGAAATTCAATAGAAGAAATTATCAAGGAGAGGGAAGATAAATAAAACATTACCTATTTCTCTAACAAATGTAACACTGTCTAAAATATACATCAACACATACTAAAAAGATTCCTGATCCTGCTGGCTCCCACGCCCACAAACATCTCATCGAACTCTGATCCAGATGCATAATAAAAGGGAACATCAGCTTCTCCTGCCACAGCTCGGGCAAGAAGTGTCTTCCCTGTTCCTGGTGGCCCAACTAACAGAATTCCTAAAAGGAACACAGGCAGACAAGAATGATCCGTTATTTTTAAATCCCTTTATAAGAACCTTCAACACAAATGAGTATTAATTCCTATAACAGAAATGACAGCAATGATCAATATTGCCAAACATGTCAAAGAAACCACATTCCTGCTATTTCACTTCAAGATTTTCTCTACAACTAATTTTCCTGTGCCATTTAAATATTATTTACAGCCAGGAGTGATTGCACACACTTTTAATCCCAGTACTCGGGAGGCAGAAGCAGGTGGCTCTCTATGAGTTCAAGGCCAGCCTGGTCTACATACTATATAATGAGTTTCAGGCCAGCCAGGTACAGAGTGAGACTCTGGCTCAAACAAACAAGCAAACAAATACAGAAATACATACATACACATATGTAAATATATATAATGTACACATCAATAAGTAAAACAAGAAAAGAATATTAAGACATAGGATTATAGACTCATTTATAACAACATAAAATTCACATCAAAAGATATGCACCTAAATATAATGGAAGAATTTTAGAAATATATTTCCATAAAAGTCCAAAAATTATTTTCTAGACATTTAGCATGAGATAAAAAATAAAAAACCCAATGATATTAAAGAAATAACGCTAATGTGGGATGAGTTACGTCAGATTAGGGCAATGTCTTTATTTGTAAGTGACACATGGTTGATCTCTACAACTTTCTTATGTTCAAGAAAAAAATGAAATGCACATATAGGCAAACACAGAAAAATATTTGACAAAATGAGAAATACTGATAGGTGTAGGATGATAATACACAGACATTAATTGCTATTATTCTAAGGTTTCCCAAATATTTAAAAGTTTTCATACCAAAAAGCTTTTCCCATCATATAAGGAAAAAAAGTAGTATCTGATTTGTATGTAACTCTTGTAATTACATTAGAAAAGCAACAAAGCTGTAGTGATGTTACATTTTAACATTTAAAACAAGGTAAAAACAAGCTCAAAAACAGCATAAAATTTAAATTAGTATTACCATGTTTTAGTGATATCCAACTGGTTTAAGCTGTTTATTGATTGTGACATATCTTAGTGTATACTTCAAGACTTTTCCATAAATTAATATAATGCTGTATTAGAAATTAAGTATAACTATAGTTTTAAATATTCTCTCTATGATATTACATCACTGTACTCCTAAGTGGTAAAAGTTTAAGGAAACTTTTCCAGAAGTTTCCAGAAAACATGTTCAATAGTCTAAAATCTACCCTTAAAACTGCAGTGCCACAGATGGAAGCAGATGCAGAAATCCACAACTAACCACTGGGATGAACTCCTGTAGTACAATCGAAGTGAGGGAGGAGTGATAATATGAACACAGGAGTCAAGACCATGATGGGGAAACCCACAAAAATCAACTGACCTGAGCTAGTGAGAGATCACTGACTCCAGTCTGACAACTTGGGAACCTGCATAAGACCAAACTAGACTCTGAATAAAGGTGACAATGATATGGACGGAATACTATATGAGGCCACTGGCAGATACCTTGCTCAGCCTAGGCATGGAAAAGGGGTTGGGGGCTTGATCCTGCCTCAACAAGATCTGGAAAAGACTTAGTAGACTTCCTAGGGGAGGTCTTACCCTCTCCAAGGAGCAGATGGTAGGTGTGGAGGGAAGTGGGGGGAGTAGGAGGAGAGGAGGGAGGGGGAGCTGGAATTGGAATGTAAAAAATAAGTAACTGCAGTTACCTTTGGATCATTTCAAACAGCTACCAACATTTGCATGTTAAAGTTCTACCCCTAATCCACTGGTGCTACTGCAAGACTGTTAAAACTCAGAGACAGTGGGAAGAGGTGGGTCACTGGAGGCATGACTTAAAGGATAGACTGTGTTTTGGATGCTATGCATGCTCTCCACTCTGCCCTCTACCACTTAGTTTCTGGCTACTGTGAGGTGAGAAGCTTTGTGCTACCATACACTATATGCTTAGCCTCACCTCAAACCTCAGTGATTGATCAGGATTGTGAATTAAAATCTCTAAAACTACAAGCCTGAAACTGTCCTTTGAAGATGACAAATAAAAAACAAATTAATCTTTAATGTAGTAAATTCATTCCTAGAAATTGGTTTCTTTTTTCTTTTCTTTTCTTTAAAGCAGTGTCTCCTGTTTTTCAGGCTAACCTCAAATTTCTGATCCTCCTGCTTTCACTTCCCAAGTGTTGGAATTACAGGCTCAGTTGATAACATGGTGGGGATCAAATCTTGTGCTTGTGCATACCGGATAACGACTGATATATGGACCCAACTATTCCTTAGAAATTTATTCTAAGTAAATAATTAGGCTGAAGGGTAAAGCTGTGTTACAGTAGTCATCAAACTCCTATTTTTAATAGAAAAAAATCATATAAATATTTACATAAAAGTATAAATGTTACAAATAATTAGCATGTAGTCTTCATAATTGTAAAGTTCATGAGGACAGTTCCCACATTTCCCACTTAACAGAAATCCTTAATTATTCTCATATCAAAAAAGAAAACTCTCTCAGTGGTGTGGTGCTTACCTACGTAAGCGAGTTTATGATCTCCAGTACGAGAACAAAACAAAACAAAGAACAAAACACTAGTGTTTAGTGTGACCCTAAAATGTGACTCTAAACCTGACCCTAATGGGGGTGTTGACATTACAAAGATCATTTTAGAACAAATGAAGCAGAGAAGTTAACAATTTTATATCCATGTAAAAGCACTAGTTTTAAAGCTGTAGGAAAAAAAAAAATATCTTAATGTGAGGTCAGACAGATGACTCAGTATTTAAGAGCACTGTATTCTCTTCTGGAGCACCTGAGTTCAATTCCCAGCACCCACATGGCAACTCACAAACTCTGTAATTTAGTCCTGGGTGATCTGGGGCTCCCTTCTTGCCTCCACCAGCACCTGGCAAACACATGGTAGGCAGACATATATGCAGGCAAAACACAAATATACATAAACTTTCTGAAAATTTTAACTAAAATAAATCCTTCTTTTTAGTAAATGTACAGCCAAGTATTTACAGAAGCATCATGTCTTATTACAGAACTTTATGTGTGGAATAAGCACATATTTTTAAAAACAAAAATTAGGAACTGAATTTATCAGTTATAGTATGATCAAATAAAATTTGTAATATGTTGCTTTATGTTTTATACCAAATCATGATAAAAGGGAGAATATCTTACCTTTGGGAAGTTTACCTCCAAGCACAGTAAATTTTTGTGGATTTTTCAAGAATTCAACCACTTCCTGTAATTCTTGTTTGGCTTCCTCCACCTTAAATGGTGCAATTTACCAAATAATCAAATAATGGTTAGATTATCAAGGTTTCCTCTTTGGCAATCATATATTTAATGTAGATAAGAGTGAATTTGGCCTTTTCCAGTTTTTAACATGTTTTTTAACACACTAAAGGTTTTTTCCCAATTTCCAATTACAGGGCATTTTTATTATGCCAACAAAAATCATTTTAAGTTCTTACTTTTACTCAGTAGATATCAGGAAAAACACAGCTAAGGCCAAAGAGCAATCTGAAAACCTAAACTGTTTAGGTCATGATTATACTTCTAGAAAATTTCCCAACACTATTTCCAGAAAATATCATTACTAGAAAAAGAAGTTTTTGTTTGTTTGTTTTGTTTAGTTCTCTAATGGACTTTGAAAGTTATTCTGACTAAATTACTTAGATTTTTTTTACTAAAAATTTGTAATGATAGTAATTAAAAATAAAGCTCTACTCATTCCCAGATCCAGGAAAATGGACACATGTTCACCAAAATGCATAAGGTACATACTCACAATACTAGAGACCCACACTAGTATTGTCAAAGTTAGTTAGAGAGTGCATCATAATAGCCATATAATGCAAACTTGCAATCAGGATATATGAACTACTGCTGTACACAGCATGGCCAAATCCTATGAACATCATTTTAGGCAAAGAAGAAAGATGCAAAGCAGTATGTTCTATGCATATGGATGCTACTAACACAAACAAGTAAATGGAAGCAGAGCTAGTGAAAGTGTTTGACAGGATGACTCTCCTTTCTGTGAGAGAGAGAGACAATAACTTCTGGGAGGCTCTGGCTTTCTAATGCTCTTTGTTGGTTTGAGAACTGATGAAAAATATGTGCTCATTCTTGAAATTTATCATTTGTGTACTCTTAAGCAAGTACGTTGAACTTCAAAAAGATTTGGCTGAGTTTTTGAAAAAGAACATCTTACTGTACAATGAAAGACTAAAATATATCTATTTAAAATAATGAGCTCGGAGCTGGAGAGATGGCTCAGAGGTTAAGAGCACTGACTGCTCTTTCAGAGGTCCTGAGTTCAGTTCCCAGCAACCACATGGTGGCTCACAACCATCCCTTAGGAGATCTGGTGCCCTCTTGTGGTGTGCAGATATACATGGAAGCAGAATGTTGTATACATAATAAATAAATAAATCTTTTAAAAAGTAAAAAAAAAAAAAAAAAGACTTGGCAAAATTGTGTAATAGCAAACGTATCATGATAAACTCTGCAAAGTACTTTGCTCCTATGAATTTACATTTAGTCAGAAGCTTCTTAGTTGTCAGCCTGTCTCTAATTTTATACTCAGACATTCTCTCATCCCCACTACAGACAGAAAGTTACAATACCCCAACCAAAACAGTTTCAAGAAGAATTCTATCTTTTAAAGATTGACTTTGATTTTAACGGTGTGTTTAATGGCTGTGTGGGTATGTGCATGCTGAGTGCAGGTGCTCATGGAGGTCAGGAGAGGAGTCGGATCCAGTGGAGCTAGAGTTAGAGCAGCTGTGAGCTATTCAAGTGGATGCTGAGAACTGAACTTGGGTCCTGTCAAGAACAGAAAATGTTCTTAACCACTAGGAACATCTCTCTAGTCCCAATTCAATTTAAGGCAAGCATGTAACTGCAGAACTCAGTCAGGAAGGGTCTGACACTAATGATTCAAGTTTTAAATAATTGTCATACCAATACCTTCCTCAACTGCTCCCTTTCTGCAAATCAAACAGGGCTCGTAGCCTTAAAATGCAAGAAATGTTTGGGGCAATTTGGTTTAACCAGATGGAAGCCCAATGCAAAATATCAATTACGTAAAATACAAAGAAAGAAAATAAATCTTAACTTACCCCCTTAACATGTTCAAAAGTGACATTTTTCATCTGGACAGGATCTACAGCAGAATCAAGTCCTGTAGTTGTCCGGAAGCGAACTAAAAGGAAAGAAAACATGTGGGTATTTTATATCAAAGTCTAGAAAAACTGCATGTCTTAGAAGCCTAGGTTTCTCAGATTAATCTGAAAGAAAAAGTCTCCATTTACACACAATGTTCAAGGACAAATGATTCCTTAGGATAGTCAGCAATTGTTTTCCTCCTGAGTTAGAGTTAATTTTTAAATGTGTTTTTATCAATCCCTATCTAAATGTTACAAAACATAAATTTGAAACAGTTATTCATTCTTCGAGATTGTTGTCCACTGACCTTTGTCATATTTGGTCATATTTAGGAACCAAAGACAATGAAGATAAAGGGGCATTAGAGGACAGCCAGTATTTGGCCTGTGATAAATGGTCAGCAAGGTCCCAGGAGAGAACAAAGAAACCCTAAAAGTGTCCTACAGTCCTATGACTCCAGTAATTCACTGCTTCTCTCTATCAGAGATACAGAAGACCCAAGACTCCAACCAGTATACAATCTGCAAATACAAGGATCATTACAGACTAAATGTCTCTGATACTTCCATGAGAATTCATGTGCTCAGCAAAAGCCTGACCCATCCCAGAAGATGGCACAGCAGGGAAGAGGAAAAAACTAAAGAAGCCAAGTCCTTAAAAGTAACCCTATGAAGCCTTCACAATAAAAGGAAAATGGGATAAATTTTGGCTACCTATATGGTTTTAAACACCCAGCAGGAAAACATACAAAAAGTAGATTAGCAATAAAATAAAACAAAGAATTAGACTAGATTTTTTAATAGGACAAAAAATGATTCAGTCCTTATAAGCTTTCCATCACACCCCAAATGTGGGCTACTGACATGCCAGGTAAGGCATTCAGTCACCCGGCTATCATATTTACATGTATATTTCCTACATGTAAATATTTTCTCCTGCCTAAACCCTGATGCTCTAGTCAGGTTAGTCAACTTGGCACAGCCTAGAGTCAACTGGCAAGAGGGAACCTCAATTAAGAATCGCTTTGATCAGACTGTGTGTGGGCACATCTGTGGGGCACTGTTTGATTGCCAGCTGATGTAGAAGGGCTCAGCCCACTTAGGTAGTACCATATCTAGGCAGGTAGTCCTGATCTGTGTGAAAAAGCTTGCACACTTTCCCTAAGTGATGGACTGTGACAACGAAATGAAAGACAGATAAACCCCTTTCTCCCCAAGGTGTCTGTGGTCAGAGTGTTTTAGCACAGCAATAAAAAATTAGAATTACTCAGACAAGAATATCCAACAGGGATTTCAATGCTGTGATGATTATAACTGTCTATTTGACAGGATCTAGGTGAGAAACTTCTGGGCATGCCTACGAGGGAGTATCTAAATTGGATCAAGATGGAAAGACCAGCCTAAATGAAAGTGTAGGTCCTGCACTGAGTAAAAAAGGAGAAAGTGAACTAAACACCAGAATTTAATTTCTCTGATTCCTGACTGAAGCTGCAATGAGACCAGCTAACTCAAGCTCCTATAGCCATGACAAGCTGTACCCTGGAACTGTGATCCACAATAAATAACCCCTTTCTTACACTTATTTTGTTACAGCAATAAGAAGAGTAACTAATAGACTTGTTGACAAAGACTCTAAGTCTTTAAGCTCAAGGCCCAACTATCCCAAAAGACACTGTATCTAGGACACATAAGGGACCAACAGCTGTGATGGTTTGAATAGGCAAAGGTACTCGAACACTTGGTCCTCAGTTGGTGACACTGCTTATGGAAGTTATGGGAAGTTTAGGGCAAGAACCCTTATCCCACTTCAGTTCATTCTCTGCTTTCTGTGAGACTGAAGTATCAGCCAGCTTCCTGTTCATCTCCAGCAACTATGCCATCCCTGCTATTATGGACTCTAACACTCTGGTACCATAAACCAAAACAAACTTTATTGTTTTTTGTTTGGTGGGCTTTGTTTTTGGAAACAGAGTCTCACTATGTAGCTCTGGCTGGCCTGGAAACTGCTATATAGAACAGGATGGCCTCCAACTTCCAGATACACTTGCCTCTTCCTGGGATTAAAGGTGTGCACCATCAAACACAGACACATATTGGATATTTATAAAAGTGGGTTTGAAATCAGATATCATTAAATTTTCACGGTGGAAACAGGCTACAATGTTATAATCTCACTGGTCATCCTGTGACTTTGCATTCTTCACTAGTTACTCGTCTAGTGTTGCTGATCATCCCTCATATAAACCTGCAGTAGTAGTAACTGCATATATCTAAGTTCTTTTAATTTCCAAAGTCTTAAAATGACAAAGTATAGAGACCTTAACCCCCATTTTAGACATTAGTATATACCCCCATTTTAGACATCATTAGCCAGATTGAGTTACCCATATCCTGAGTGGTTTTAGGGTCTCAACTCTTCAGGGGGTGTTGTTAAGTAGCTAGTTTGATAGATATTAGCAGGCTAGAAGGTCACTAATAATCAGCAGCTTTTAAAACCAAGAACTGAAACAGAAGGATTACTACTGGACAAAAGTATGAGAACTAAGTCTTACTGTGAATTAGGCAGAAGGTCATCACTAAATAACTGAACTTTCCTATTTAATGGGAAGTGATAAAGAATAAGAATATATGGGGCTGGAGAAATGGCTCAGTGGTTAAGACACCAGCTGCTCTTGTAGAGTAACTGGGTTCAGTTCCCAGCACCCACAGGACATCTCACAAACTCCAGCTCCAAGAACTCAATGCCCTCTTCAGGCCTCTACAGGAACCAGGTACATGAATGTACACAGGAACCAGATACATGGATGTACACAGACATTAATGCAGGTAAAACACTCACAAATCTTAAAAAAAGAACAAGAATATACCATTATCTCCTCAGTAAACGTCGACCCAAATGGGCCTCTCAGTCATCTGCACAGGAAAATGTGCCACAGGAAGCACTGTCTTTTGTAGAAGCTTTAGAAACAGATAGCCTAAAATGTAGATTGACATCATGATCTGGCTGCCCATCTTCCACTGTCACCGCCTAAGTGTGCTCTCTTCTACTCTGCAACCAACTCCCTAGCTTCTACTCTGCTATGCAAAAACAAGCAAACCAGGTATGGTAGTCATCCCTGTAATCCTAGCACAGGCGAGGTAGTCAGCAGGTTCAGAAGCTTGAGGTCATCCTTGGCTACACCGTGTGCTTAGAGTCAGCCTGGGCTACATGAGATCTTGTCTATAGCCAAATTTTTCAGAGCTCAGATAAAGTGCTATTGCTATGGTATTCATCCAGCATGCATGAAAACCTGGTCTTAATCCCCAGCACCCCATAAACTGGGCATGTAATTATATGTCACTAATAATAGCACTCAACCTTGTCTCAGAAAAAAGGCAAGAAAATCTTTAAATCAATGACTATCAAAGTTTTGTGAATAAAAATCTTATGAGAAATACATTAAATGGAGGTCCCCAGCCATATTACAGACCTAGGGTTTGTTGATTTAGGAAGGGGTCCAGGAGTCAGCATTTTAAAAAACTGTCATTTTTAATTTTTAAAATTACTCATTTAATAACATTATTGCACATTAATTTTTAAAAATCAAACTGAATGGATTATCTTACTTTTCAATTATTCTTCCCCAGTAACAACAACCTTAAGTTCAACAAAAGAAAAACTTGATAGGATAGTCAAATATTTGGTACAATGATAAAGAACATAGAAGCCAGATGCTTGAAGAAATAAAACTCAGTTAAGTGAAAATCTTTACCAGATAAAAATGGGTTTTTTAAGAGTCCATAAATGCCAAGCAGGAGCAGAATAAACACAATCAGACGAGTTCGCCTTAAGGAATCTGGAAGAGGAAAAAGCCTTGAATTAATGACATTAATGAAATATAACATCAGTATGGCAAATAATTATTATTTTGTTTGAATTTGGCTAATAAGTTAAACTTTAAGCTGAAAATAACTGCCCACTGATGGGAGTGCTTGCTTAGCTCGAAGGAAGTCCTGGGTTAATTCCTTAGAACAACAACCACAAACTGTTTTCGAAGTTTGGGTTTACAGAAAAGCTAAAAGTATATTTCTACCACTCACCTTGTCCTGTGACCGCAGGTCCCAACTAACATGCATTTATATAGTAAACTTGTTAACAATAAACCAGTACTGATGTACTGATACAGTTTTAGTATAGTTTACATGATGGCTTACTCTTGGTGTGAGACAGTCATTTAAAAAGTTCAGTCAGCAGAAAAACAAGGTTTTATTCTCTCTTCTGTCTCTCTTTCTCTCTCTCTCTCTCTCTCTCTCTCTGTGTGTGTGTGTGTGTGTGTGTGTGTGTGTGTGTGTGTATCTGTTATGTTCCCTTTTGGTTTCCTGCCTTCTTCTAAACAGTTGCCTTCTACTTTCCTGATATTCATATACATATGCCTCATATAGTTCAACTTGGATCTGCATGTAAAAATAGATGTAATTTTTGTTCTTCCCCCTCCATTTAAATCCTCTTTCCACCACCACTTCTCATACATACAAATACATACACATGTGCAAATCCTCACACAGAAATCCAGACTCTGCATAAAAAAACAAACATGCAATATTTTTCAGAGTCTGTGTTAATAAATTTAAGATACCCAACCATTTTCCTACAAGTGACATTTCATTCTTCTTTATGGCTGAATATACTCCCAGTGTATAAATGCCATATATTTTCATACATTCATCTGTTGACAGGCATTTAGACTGGTTCCACTATCTTGGCTACTGTGATTAGAGCTACAGTAAACATGGATGTACAAGTACATCTCTATGCCATGCTTAGATCCCTTTGTTTAAAATATCAAAAATAGTAAACAGAGCTGGATCATATTCAGTTCACTTTTTGTTTACTGAGGAATCTTCATGCTGATTTCCTAAGGGCTCCACCAGTTTACCTTGCCATCAGCACTGTACGAAGGCTCCTCTGTCACTCTGATGGGCATCTGAGGTTGCTTTTTTCTTAATAACCATTCTAAATGGAGATAATCGCAATGGAGCTTTAATTTGCATTTCCTTGATGGCTGAAGATGCTGAAACTTTTTCATATATTAGCCACCAGTATTTCTCTTTTGAAAACTATCTGTTGAATATATTTAATCTTATTTACAGATCAGATGATTAAGTTTTTTGGTAAATAAAAATTGGAACAATTATTCACAGATTCTATATATTAATCTCATCAGGTTGCTGTGTGGAAGCTCTTTAATTTCATATACTCCCATTTGTCACCTTTTGCAATTATTTCTTGAACTGCTAGAGTCCCCTTCAGAAAATCCTTTGCTTCCTATGCTTCTATCTTAAAGTGTTGTACTTGTGTTTTCTTCTGGAAGTTTGAGTTTTAGGTCTCACTTGAGGTTTTTGCTCCATTTTTAATTAATTTTTGTACAAGGTGAAAGATAAGAATCCAATTTTATTAGTCAACACGTTAACATCCATTCCTCTCAGTACCACTAGTTGAAGAGGCTATCTTTTTTCTAATGCATGGTTTTTTACCTTTGCCAAAAATTAGATGGCTGCCATGACTTTAAGATTCCTGTATTTACCAAGTCACAATTTCTATCCTTCATTTTTATTTCCACTTCCAAATAGCTTAAGCAATCTTAAATTTTATAGTGGATCATGACCAGTGTTAAGGACTGGTTATCTCAGAAAAGTTTCTATGAGGCAATGAGATGGCTTAGCAGGTAAACCAGCCTACCAGCAAGCCTTACACCTAAGTTTGTTGCTGGAATCCACAGTGGAAGGAAAGAAAGTAGAAGAAAAGAATCTATTTCCAAAGTCATAGGATCTCTACACAGGCACTGTGGTACAGCTTACCTTCACACACACAACATATCACAGACTAATTTTTTTAAAACTAAGCAAGGTTTTGTAATACTTTCAACAGAGGACTAAGTATCCTCTCAACCGTTCTCCCTACATCATACCATTGGTCTTCTGTGTGAGAGCTTGAGCTTTGAGAAAACCCTCTGCAAAACCAGTTTTAAATGCATCTTGGTGAGCTTCAGGTATGTTTTTAGTTTTCATAAGTTTGTCCAAACTCTCAAGATCTGTTCCTCTGTCCCTCAAAAGAAACCCCTAAAAATGAAAGAAAATACAACAGTTATAAAGATACAAAGAGGCCAGCAGTGGTGGCACACACCTTTACTCTCAGTACTTGGCAGGCAGAACTCTTAAGAGTTCGGGGACTACAAAGTGAGTTCTAGAACAGCCAAAGCTGTACAGAGAAACCCTGTCTCAAAAAGCCAAAAATAAAATAATAAACAAACAAACAAACATGCAAGGATAGAGAAGTCAGTGGTCTGAAGATTTTCAGTCTACTGGACAAAGTCAAACAGGTACACTTTACAAATAATTTTGATATTCTGCTTAAAAGAAATAGGTATGGCAATAAAATAAATGTTATACTTTACTGAGATTAGGACATTGGAGCTAGAGAGAGGACTCAGCTATTAAACGCTAGGCTTGCAATCAAAATGTCAGGAGAATGGGACATCAAAAACACACTTAAGAGGATTGGAGATATAGATCAATTGGAAGTGTTTGCTTAGCATACATGAGGCCTTCAGTTTGATCCCAGAACTAAATAAACTAGGCTTGGCAATACATACATGAATGCCAGCACATGAGAGGTAGAGGCAGGAGAATCCTAAATTTAAGGTAATCCTTAGGTACGCAAAGAATTAGAACATAGCATGGGCTATATGAGACCAACCATCTTTCCAACCTCCTCACTCCCCTCCCCCAAAGTCATACAGGCAGGTATCATGTCATAGGTCTATAATCAAAGCACTTAGAAGGAAAATTGTGAGTTCAAGGTCTCTCCTCACACATACACACAGACACAAAACAAAGCAAAATAAAAACAACTATAGGGAAGAAACATAATGAATAGACAACCTGAAAGAACAATATGAAATAATGTTCAAAACTGTAAATAATCTGGTAAGATGCAATGCCAAGAGAAAAGCACAATAGTGGCCAGCATATGCAAGATGAGAACAGAAAAATGGTCAATAAAGTACAATAAAACACTATATTACGGGGCTGAGAATATGGCTCAGTGGTTGGGAGCACCGGCTGCTCTTTCAGCAGACCTAGATTCAATTCCCAGCACCTACATGCCAGCTCACAACTGTATGTAAAAGTAACTACAGTTCCAGGCGATCCAACATCTTCATATAGACATACATGCAGGCAAACACCAGTACACATGAAAAGATAAATAATTCAAAAACAAAAACAAAAACCTCTGGCCAGGTGGTGGTGGTGGAGCAAGCCTTTAATCCCAGTACTTGGGAGGCAGAAGCAGGCAGATCTGTCTGAGTTCAAAGCCATCCTGGTCTACAGAGCAAGTTCTAGGGCAGCCAGGGCTGTTACACAGAGAAACCATGTCTTAAAAAACCAAAAACTCTGTTAAGTGAGACTGAGTTAAATAATAAACCAAAGTAACAAAATTAATTAAGTCACCATTTAAGAAGCAATGGTGATACAAGTCTGGAGGCAAGACTGAAAGTAGTAAGAGTAGATGCTATGGCATATTAGTTGAGGTGTGTTACTTTTATTTGTGGAACATTTATTTAATGATGCAAAGATATGTTGTGTTCTTTTATATTGCATTTGTTTAACTCTGTGAAGCTGTGTTACTTCCCTTATTTAAAACACCTGACTGGTCTAATAAAGAGCCAATAGCTAGGCAGGAGAAGACAGGCAAGGCTGCCAGGCAAAAGGAATAAATTGGAGAAAAAGAGAAGAGGAAGGAGTGAGAAAAGGAGAAGAGGAGGATTTCAGAGGCCAGCCACCCAGTCAGACACAGAATAAGATGGAAAGAAAAGATATGCAGAAATAGAGAAAGATAAAAGCCCAGAGGCAAAAGGTAGGCAGGATAATTTAAGAAAAGCTGGCTAGCAACAAGCCAAGCTAAGGCTGGACATTCATAAGAACTAGACTCCGAGTAACTATTTGGGAGCTGGGTGGCAGGCCACCACAGAGCAAAGAATAAAAATAATAATAATAATAATAATAATAATAATAATAATAAACAACCACAAGTAGAAGCAAAGAGATTAAATGAGTACTTATTAGAATAATCCAGGACATAAAATGTTGAAGTGTCTAGGAATGGCAGTGCAAAGGATAAAGGGAAAGATTTAAGAAAGAAATGTTAGCTGGGCAAAGTGGCTTGAACTTGTAATCCCAGTATTTGGGAAATCCTTCTGAAGCAGAAGGACTGCCTTAAATTCAAGGCCAGACTAGGCACATAGTGAGATCCAGAACAACCTGTGCGGCAGACTGAGATCCTGTCTCAAAAAACAAAAACAAAAACAAAAACAAAAAAAACACCAACAAAAAGAGAAGCATTTCAGGTTAGTGGTATAGATCAGTGGTAGATCACTTGGCCAGAAAACATAAAAACTAGGTTCAATCCCTAGGACCACCACTTCCCCAAAGATACTAATGAGGGTGCAGTAGAGAAAGGAAAGCTTTTTCAAACAGTACTGGGAAATCTGAACTACAACATGCAAAAAACTAAAGCTAAAGCCTTATCTCTAAGCCTATCCATAATTCAACCCTAAATGGATCAAGTTCTTTAATATAAGACTTGGTACCCTGAAACTGCAAGAAGAGCTGAGGACTATGCTTCCTTCCACTTACAGACATACCCACAGTTCTCAGTAAGTCTCTAGTGGCATAGGAAAAACAACAATCAACAAATAGGATCTCATGAAACTAAATAGTTTCTGTGAAGGAAAAGAGACTGTCAATGAGAAATGAGAAAAATCTACCAGAGTTAGTATCTAGAACATAAAAGAATTCGAACTACTAAACATTAAAAAAATAAACAGCCCAATTAAAAACTGGGCAACAGAACTGGATAAAAAAATTCTCAAAGGAAATATAAATGGCTCCTAAAAGCTTTAAAAAGTGTTCAACATACTTAGCCATCAAGAAAAGGGAAATTAAGTCGGGTACCGGTGGTGCACACCTTTAATCCCAGCACTCAGGAGGCAGAGGTAGTCGGATCTCTGTGAGTTTGAGGCCACCCTGGTTTCCAGAGCAAGTTCCAGGACAGGCTCCAAAGCTACACAGAGA